CACTCCATGACTGTCAACAGGCAAAGGAAGTTTTGAGCTATTCTGTATATGAATTTAGGTTTCAGTGCCCTTTAAGATCAGGTTTTACAGTGTTGAACCAGTCTTACCTCTTATTTGCCTCATTTGGTCAAGAAACCATTGTTCCTCCCCTCTGCTCACTGTTGTAAGCCTGCACCAGCAAGTGGCTTCTGAAAGCTGTCTGTTCATAGCAGTCCTGAAAAACCTAACCTTCACACCTGTGCTTTACAGGTCATAGTGGAGAAGGTCTCAGGATCTCAGATTGTTGACATTGACAAGAGGAAGTACTTAGTTCCATCTGACATCACCGTGGCCCAGTTCATGTGGATCATCAGGAAGAGGATTCAGCTGCCATCTGAGAAAGCAATATTCCTCTTCGTAGACAAGACTGTCCCACAATCCAGGTGAGAAGCTATTCACTTGGTATTCAGACCCATGTCTGCAAGCCTGTGCGTACCTGATGGACAGGAGCTCCCCTCTTTGAGGCTTATCTGGTGATTTTAGGAGGGGTGTGGCTACATCTTAGTCTCACTGTGATAGGATTGGTTTTTTTTTTCTCATGAGTTTGATAAACATTTCTTGAGCTAGGCTGAAAGGAAAGGTGACTGAAAAAATCTCTTTATGATTTACTTCTATGGGAAGAGGGTGAGCTCTTATTAAGCCTTACCTGTGTAACAGGAACAGTTCCTCCGGGTAACCTGTCCAGACTGTTAGCAATATCTTTATTTACTTTGTGATACACAACACGGACCTGTGAGAACCATCTTTTCCTGCTTGCTTTCTCGTAAGAGTATTAGGAATGTGATTGTCTTAACAGTGCTGCAGAACTGCTAGGAATGGGACAGAAAAAGAAAGGACACATTGTTCATGATGGGATGTCATATCTGCTGGAAAAACAGGGCATTGAACCTTTCAGTATTAATGCAAAAATGGTAACTTGTTAACAGGTAAATCAAAATCTGATCTGTTAACAGCTCTGCTCGTCTTGTGGGCTGAGTTCATTACGTAGATCACTAAACCCGTGATATCCTCTCCTTCTCCGGAAGTTTATCTAGTGCTCACCAGTTCCCTTTCATTACAAGTAGTGCTGCAGCTCCTCCCAGCCCCTCCCTCTGGTAAAAGATGTTCTCCTTTCCCCATCACTCAGTCTAAATCTTTCAGTTCCTGACCCTTTTCTCAGTCTTGGGTAGGTAGGGAAGGGTGAGCTGAGGAGGTGTCACTTGTGCAGCTGCCCAACGTCAACTTGCTGTTCCATCTGCAGGAAGATGGTTGGAGCAGTTGTACTGGCCAAGTAACTGCTTGGGTTTCCTTTTGTTGTCAAAACACAGGCATTGCCCTAAAGACCATGGCTGCTTACACTGTGAAGGGCCACATGCCTGTTCAGTGACAAACATTTTCATTTGATCAAATGTTCAGAACCTTACCTCTGGAAAAAACAAGTTCCTGGGTAACTTGTCATTTCCTGCCCACACATTTTGGTACTGGCATTACTTGAAGTCATTACTTTTTAACGATACAGAAAACAAAGCTTTTGCTTCCCAGAATAACCCAGAGCTCAAGGAAACAGTCCAAAAAGCACAATCTTGATAGACCAGAGACCAACCGAACATTCACAACTACACAAGGTGGAGGGAGAAATGAGGTGGCTCACGCAAGAAGCACAACATTAATGCAGCTGCATTCAAGGAAGGTGCAGTGAGGCTGTTGAGCCTTGTATTAGTCACAGCATCAATAATGGGTGATTCAGAACCTGAAATACCTTCAGTGACTATTTTTTTCAGTGAAATAAGGTAGCTTTGTGACACATGCATTTGCAAAGAGCAAAACCCTAGACACTGCAGAGAGCCCAGGATCATTTTTCTATCTCAGGAGTCAACTGTTTTCATATATCCCCATTTTTGTATTTTAATTTACACAGATTCACAAGTTTTAGCTTTTATTAATCCTTGTCTTTGTGAGGTTCTAACTGCTACTATTTGCAGCTGTCATGATGCAAGCAAACCATTTCTCTTTTTTTCCCCTTAAAGCTTAACTATGGGACAACTTTATGAGAAGGAAAAGGATGAGGATGGATTCTTGTATGTTGCCTACAGTGGAGAGAACACATTTGGTTTCTGAATGGTGGGTCCTGGCTACCGTACCATCCTGCTGTGTATCTTGTAAATAGCTGATCATTTTCTGTTCTGACATCCACAGAAGTTCCTTCTATATACATGCATTTGTAACTGGATTTATTTCTTAATATATTGATAGGTCTTGTTTTATTAGACTGTTAAATTATAAAGAAGTTTTGTTGGTTTTGTGGTTTTTTTTTCTTTTTCCCTCATGCTATGAATTCCCAGAGCTTCATTCCTTTGGGGGATACACCTGATGACATGGATTAAATAATAAAGCAAAGTAGTTGGGCTACTAGAACATGAAGAGAAGAATACACATTTATTCTGTTTTGAGGTGTTTAAGAGATAAAAATATCGAATTAGTATTGGGAACACTGGATTTACTAGCTTGTCCTAAGCAAGAGCACAATGTGATCATTATCAGTTGAGCTAATATGTTCCTTTCTCAATTAACAAACAAGTACAATAAAAATTCCTGTCACAAACAGGCAGTGCTGTCATTTCTTTGCCTTAATTTTGGCCAGAAAGTTATATATCACATTTACTAGATGCTATAGAGTTCCTTATGTTATTTACTAGACACTGCAGAGCTTCTCAACGTGGATGATGATACAAGGAAAAAACAAGCAGCTATCTGTAGGTTCCAAAACCAGTAGCTTCAGAGCTACTAGGTCTCATCAGGAGAGCAGCTATGCCTGCCCACAGGCTGTCAGCCTAAACCATTCTATGATTCTACCATGGTGAGGCAGACAACTGCAATTAAAAATGCTGCATGCAAGATGAAGAACTCATGGTCAGTTCCTGCAGTTGATGAGCACCACTGCCACAGCAGGTACACAGCACAGCAGAGGTAAGAGGCTTTGCCACAAACACAGAACACGTTGTTATTCATGAGGGTCTCAGTTTCTCTCCAAATGGGCTTACCACAGTTACTCAGCTGCCTCTACATACAGGGCAAGAAGCAAAGATGTGGTCTGGAAAAGACACCTGATTGATCTTTTTGCACAGTACTGGTGTTTACACTTTGAAATTAAAGGATAACACTGTGTTGGAAAAGTAGCATCACTTTGAACTTCATAAGCCAGCAAGGAAACACAAAGTGTAGATTCCTAATAACAGTTTTACTCCATTTTTATGCTGCATGGTGGAGGAGTTCACTTTTTAAAATGTTTGCACCCAGTGGAAATCTATCACTTTTGAGGCTCAAATCAGATTCATACTAACTCAAACCCTCATGAAGTCACCTTATGCCTAGAATTATGTCTGGCTCTACAGTTACTCACAGGTACAGGCAGAAGGACTCCAAAATGAGAAGGTAGGAGGCTGTGAAGCACTGGCACTGTTACAAGCCTTGTCACAGTAACAGTGCTGCATGTGCTTACTGCAACTGAAAACATGCTGTTGGTTTCAGTAAGCCTTTCACTGTTCAGAATAGCACTGCATTGTATAGTACTGCTGTAATAAACATTCCATCACTGCTTCCATCCCAAATTCCTTCCACCACCACCCTTTCCACACATGTAGTATTAATGTTTACTCTTCACAGAATTTTTGATTCAGAATGAAAAGTGGTTTCATCTGTGATTTTTTTATTATGTTTTATTACTGGAAAATGTTCTGTTTCCTTTAAGCTAGAACTCCACAGTTTGACTATGGTTTTCAGTGCTTTTTGCTAGCAGTTAACAGGAGTAAGAAATGTAACTTAAAGCTGCTAGATAAAGCTAATGACATGTTAACATATAGATATATCTAAACAAAACAAGGGAAGGTGAAGTTTTATTCCCAATGTTATGATCTAGGTGACTTTTTGAATATCCTTCATAAGCCTCTAAAAAACCCCACATAACTACTGTAACATTTCTGTAATGATGAATTTAGATTTAGGAGACCAGGTACATGAGTCATTCCAGAGAATGCAAGAATACTTGTGCTAAGCAGTAACTTAACTTTTAATCTACAAATGCACTTAAAATGGCAATAAAACATAAGAGGTTTCACCTGAAATGCAGAGATGAAATGCATGCCTTTAGATAGCATAGTCACACCTGTAAAATCATGAAAAGTTTTGGGTCCCATGTGAGTCTCACTTTCTGCTAACCCTTCAGGCCTGGAAAGGCATCTCAATTTATACACTGAACAGAAATACCTCAATTCCTACAGCCACAGTTCCACATCACCTATCTTCAAGCTAATGTAAAATGTCATCTCCAATATAACTAAACCACTGCTAGATGAATTCAGATAGTGTTTCCTCAAAAAATTATCTTCTACCTGTAAATCCCTGCTGCAGCCTTCTCATAATGACATTATCAGATGCTTGGGATGGTTGTGCTTTGAGAGAAAGAACTGCTGGTTGTAGCCCCTCAACTATGGCTCCCAATTTTACTCAGTGCCTTTCTTTCCTCCCTACCAACAGTAGCTTCCCAGAACTAATTCTCAATTCATTTCCATGCTCATGCCTCAGGCATTTTCTCCAGGTCTGGTTTCATAACCAGTTAATAGTTTGTAACAAGCAAGAGGAAGCAGCAGCAGCAGAGCTTTAGCTCATTCTTTCCTCTAGCGCTTCTGGGCTTACAGCAAAGCTGATTTAACTCCTAGGGAAAAGCTACCCTGGGGTTTGGGTTCATGGCTTGTTTTTCTACAAAGAAAGAGAGTAACTTGAATAGTCTTGAGTTTACTCTGAATGTACTGAGATCAGTAAGTGCTCCAGCCTGCCTAAGGTGAGCAGTGGAAGCACCCTGCGAAGATTAAAACCTTCCTTTGCAAAGGTACTGGATGTTAGCATGTTATGTCATGAACTGCAGCCTCCAGCTCAAACAGGCTGTTTACTTCTACTTTTGGACAAAACCACGTATTTCCATGCTCTGACTTCCTTAAAGGTAAGCAGGTGGCCCTGCCTTGTTACTGCAGTTGAAAATATAATGGTGTCTCCAACGGTGAAGCTGTTGAAGATGTCCCACTCAAAACAAGGGTTAGTTTCCTTCTTCTGAAAAATAGGGACCACTGGCCCCCATACTAGTTTGGGAAAATCAGGGACCTATCCAGTAATACAAATACGCTCATTTTACACATGCCTTGGGAAGCTTGGTGCCCTCATGAGCTCTGCTGCTCCACTTGGCAACCGTTTGGTTGTCCTCACTAACCATCAACTGTGGGCACTTGGTTTCCTCTACTTACACCTACCCACAACTGTGCTCCTCTGTGACAGGGTCTCTGCATTCTAATGTTCTCCCTAAGGATCATGCAGGATCAGGCCCCATCCTTAAATGCTGCTTTGTTTTAGCTCCTCTCTCTGCATATTCATTGACTCACTCTAGGCTAAAATATGTCCTCAACTAAATCCAAAAGTGAGGTTAGTATTACTGTTCAGCACCTATAAAACTACTTTTAAGCCTGACAAGTAGTGGAAAGCAGCAGTCTACAGGTCACAAGTACTTTACAAACACACAGGAAAATCCAGGAACAACCTTTCCCAACAGCCAGGCTCGAATTTTATGAAAGAGTTAAAAGCATTTACATCATGTAACTGCTCATCTGAAAACTAGCTGGATGCCAAGACAGAACTAGCCTTATGTAACCCATTTTAATATTGCAGCTGGATGGGAAATGGGAACATTCCAGTCTGGTCAGCAGGTTCCCTACAGACCTTCTTGATTAACAAAGGGAAACTAGGTACGGTAAGTTACAGTTTCTGCAAGATTTCAGGGAAGGACAAAGGTAAATTTTAGGAGTCTGGAAATGCACTAATTATCTCTTAGGTACACTACAGGACTCTGCCCCTGCAATGCAGTTCACCATGTAGCAAATCTGTGATAGCATCTGGCCATTTTTCATCCCCTGGTGACTAATGCCAGTTACCATTCTCCATAATCCCCTGTCCTCTAAAGACACATGCAATGGCTCCCCCCTTCACCAATACAACTGGTCTTTCTGCTGGATTTGGGAGGACAGGCTCATACACACAGCATTTGGGTTTTGTTAGTTCTTCGACAAGAGCACTATTCTTATTTGACCAGTCAACCCAAGTGTGAAGTAAAAGGATTTGCTGTAATCAGTTCTCAGACTGTAATGCAATATGTACTGAACAGTCCCATATGCAGCTCAGCAGGTTGACTGTACAGGCTGTTTGGAGAACTGCTGTGCCCATTTTTCAAATCCGAAACTGTGGTAAGATACCAAAAAACCAGAAAATTCAAGTCACTAAAAAATTCTTAGGTTCTAAATTATCCACTTCTTTCATCCTCCCATTGCCTTGTGCAAATGTTTTATGAAGCACAATTTACAGCAGAAAAGGTACAAAAGGGGAGTGTGCTCAGTAGCAGTTACATAGTCCTGAACTTGCTCACAGAATGCAATAATTGGGACAAAAAGCTTACAGAGAATTACCTGCTGTCTCCCCCAGCCCCCAGCATTTACTGACTGCCATGTAGACATTACTTGGTAATAAAGCATAAAGGCAAAGACTGTCAGAGACCACTTCAGTCTCCCCCAAAGCATCTCCACTTGTGCCAGGCAATTAATGAACAGTTGCCAGGAAACAGTGACATAAATGGTTAAGGTACCCCTGCTTTTAATTAACCACATATCACAGGGAGACAGGGGTTGGACAGCACTTGAAACACTGCAAAGTAGGTAACTGTTTGCCAGGAATTACACAGGACTGACAGGTTTGAACCAGGAGGTTTCTTTCCTGCCCACAGAAGCAAAGCAGTTGAACAGGTATCTGGGAAAGTCGTGAAATTAAAACAGGCACATGAGATAGATCACAAGTGGTATTATTTGACACTGCTTCTCCCCAGAACTTTTTTACTTCTGCTTTGGCTGTGTTTAGTAACTAGAAGCTTACATGAAGGATTTCCAGAAAAAAAGACCCTTTAACAGAACCTGTATTTCCAGTTAGAAGCAATGGGGTTGGGGGACGTGGAAAATTCTTCCAGGAGCCAGACAAGGAGAGCCAAGAGTTATAAAAACATTACTTATTACACATCAGGGTCGTCCCAGCAACACAAACCCAACCATAACATTATGAAGAGGGGGGATTTAAAAGCAGCAGTAAAATTTACAAGTGATGGCCATAGCGCTGCTTTAGTTTCAGTTGACATTACTTCCACTGCAATGGACTATGGTTGATCATATCCTCGGGTAACAGGGGATAGCACGTCACTTCTTCCTTTCTTTTGAGGCATAATTGTTTCATGCAGCTCAGAACTTCAAGTCTACAATGATTCTTTTCTATATTTCAATAAAAAGGGGCTTCAACTCAACCAAAATAAAGACTTCTCTAAACTGCTTTCCTTTTCACTGTCTCCTTACAGCACATAGAATCACAGAATAGTTAGGGTTGGAAAGGACCTTAAGATCATCTAGTTCCAACCCGCCTGCCATGGGCAGGGACAAACTAGAGGATATCTTTTCCTAGTCCTTGAACTGCAGCGGTATCTGTGCACCAGAGCTCATTGCTGGATTTACACAGCCGCATGTATTCTCACGTGAACTGCAGGTATTCCTTGGTATTCTTGACCCAGCCCATTAGGGCTTGGCTACGCAGCACTTTCCAGGCTTCTTGATAATTTAGTGCAGCTTCCTTGTAGTCCCAGTAGGTTTCTAGAGTCTTCATCCTGACAGGAAATACACAACACAGAAAACATTTCTATTATCCTATTGAATGTAATGCTACAAAATGAAAGAAACCCACAAAACCCAAGCACCCAAGCACATGATGATGCCATTTGAGCTCTTTCATGCTAGTAAGTGAAATTCTCTTGTGCTTCTAGACAAGACCTGGAGAGGACGGACCCTGAAGCTAGTGTATCTATCTAGACGCTGTCAGCAGTCTTACAAAAGGAAGCAAACCAGTTCCTCTCCATGCTTCACCACTCTCCAGCAACAGAAGTGTCATTGTTTGTGTCATAGCTTATAGAAAACTTCCATTATAGCAAAGAAATGTCATAGGAAAGCTGAAAAGGTGGCTAGAGATAGGTGCAGAACAAGTAGCCTAGTTCTGCTTGAAGAACAGACACGATTACTGGCGGGAAGGAAAGGTGACAAGGGCAAAGAGGATAGCTTTTCTTTTCCAACACAAAATAATGGAGAAGAGTGAGACAAAGGAGAAAACATATTTTTATCTTCTCTCTAAAGCAAAAGAGACTCAGCAGTTTTGGTGCTCTGCTCCCCTTCTGCATGTAGCACCTACTCCCTACAACCTCAGCAGAACGACACAGTTCCAAGAAAGGCCAAGGTCAATTCACCACAACCACCTCCGAATCCTTACCATAGGCAAATTGTTCTCTCCCAGGTACTCCCAACGTGTACGTCAGACATGGTACAAACCACCTGCACCTTCTGCTCCACCTCAAAACCACACCCTGGGGAGCAGTGTGCACGCTTACATTCACGGGTAATGACCAAATGTTTCTTTTGGGAGAAACTCTTTCATGCTAGCATGCTTCTTGCACTTCAAGCATGTCTGACATATTTGTTTAAGATCTTGACCCTGCCCTTCTTCACTATAAAATCATCTAATGACATATATTTGTTCTTTATCACAGAATAGCTAATACTAGATGCTGCTTTTATCTTCAAAACACAGCTACTTGTACTTATGAGGTCACATTTAAGATGGTCAAAGATCAAAAATGAGTTCTACAACACAGATCTTTTGACCTGCTCAGTCTTGTTAAAGGTGAAACAGCTGTTTTGCTTGCATTTGCTGTGAATGCATATATGTAGATGCAGATCCAGACAGACAGATATTGCACCTGCCACTAAGCCAAGAGAAATACTCCAATGCCTAGCTGTTCTGCATTTCATCCTTGCTAAATGTTCCTGGTTTTCCTGCATCTGCTGGCAGATCAACGGCTCTTCAACTCATATCCAGCAGTGTGAAACAATTTAATTAAAACACATAGAATCAGAGAATAGTCAGGGTTGGAAAGGACCTTAAGTTCATCCAGTTCCAACCTTCCTGCCATGGGCAGGGACACCTCACACTAAACCATGTCACCCAAGGCTCTGTCCAACCTGGCCTTGAACACTGCCAGGGATGGAGCAACCTCCCTGGGCAACCCATTCCAGTGCCTCACCACCCTAACAGTAAAGGGCTTCTTCCTTATATCCAATCTAAACTTCCCCTGTTTAAGTTTGAACCCGTTACCCCTTGTCCTGTCACTACAGTCCCTAATGAAGAGTCCCTCCCCAGCATCCCTATAGGCCCCCTTCAGATACTGGAAGGCTGCTATGAGGTCTCCACGCAGCCTTCTCTTCTCCAGGCTGAACAGCCCCAACTTTCTAAGCCTATGAGAAATGAGAGAGATTCTTCTAACCTAGATCATTCCAATAGACCTTTGTTTGGAAACTATTACAGGAGACAGTAGAGGACAACACAGCACAAAAGCAGGATAGACAGCAAGGAGCAGCTCAGTATTTTCACCCCACTGTAGTAGTAGTTACAAGAGCACATGTGAGTGCAGCCTCTTGGGCTCTCATTCTCCAAGCAGACAACATCACTGTAGAATTTAACAGTGGATGCAAGAGAAAGCTGCATTTTAAACAGCTTCCTCAAAGAGCTGCCAAAATCAAACAGATTTATTCAATTCATGTTCAAAATCTCCATTAAGCTTCTAAGAAATTTTCAATCTATATATGGGAAAAATGCTTTCAAATTACTGGGTTCAGCAGTAGCAGTCATGTTTCTCCTTCTTGGTAGCTGGTGCAGTGCTGTGCTTTTGACTTTCGGCTCAGAAACAGAGCTGGTAACAATGATGTTTTGGTTTGGCCAAGGACTTTGTGAGCCTTATGCTCTGCCAGGGAGGAGGGGAAGCCAGGAGGAAGCAGAGACAGGACACCTGACCCAAACTGACCAAAGAGGTATTCCATACCACAGCACGTCATGCCCAGGATGTAACGGGGAGTTACCTGGAAGGGCTGGGGGACTGCAGGGTTGGAGGAGGTATCGGTCGGAGCTTGGTTGGGCCTGGGGGGTGAGTTATCGGTTGGCTGGTGGTGAGGTGTTGTACTCTCTTCCCTTGTTATTTCCTTTATCATTATGATCATTGGTGGTAGCAGTAGTGATCTGTGTTATACCTTAGTTACTAAACTGTTCTTATCTCAACCTGTGGGAGTTGCATTCTTTTCGATTCTCCTCTCTGTCCCTCCGGGAGTAGGGGGAGGGCAAGAAGAGGGGGGGTACAGTGAGTGAAGGAGCTCTGCCTGGTTTTAAACTATGACACAAATTCAAGGCACCTTACATCTGCCTAAATCCCTCACGATTTGTATCTCAGCTGTGTTTGGGCCATTGAGGGTCTGAGCATCAGTAATAAAGAACCTGTGACATTTTTTTGGCAGAAGTGCCAATTTGCTGCTCCATGCAAAGTGCAGTACAACTGTATGATCTACTGCCTGCCCAGGTCTGCCTGACTACATTCCTTTTATGTTTCTCTTTACTATTTTCATCTTGCCCCTTCACTACTATGTAAGAGAGAGACAGTGATTTTGATGGCTGTGTGCCACGGACATGAGATGTGATCCACAGGTTTCATTCTGAAAGATATTGCACTCTCGGAAAAGTCTTATACAAATCACCATTATTGCTTGAAAACATTCATGTGCTCAGCTACTTGGAAAGCTGAGCAAAAATGGGCTCACCAGCAAGGCAACCTGCAAAGAAAAGCAATGCACTCTGCAGTACTTTCTTCTCAGCAACAAACTCCACCTCTTTAACCACGTATTCAAACGTATACATTGAACTAAAATATACTTTTGAGATTCCAGTGACTCTGCACATGAAAAATGTTGATGTAAGCACAAGGCATCAAACAGAACATACTGTTGTACAAAAATTAATGAATCGCATCTAAGAGGGCAAAAGTTCACAGAGCTCCAGTATGTAAAAATCTGATGTGAATCCATAATGACAGGGGTCAGAAAAACATACAGGGCCTGATTCTGTTAGTGTCTTCTTCAGAGCTACAGACCAAATGCAGTCACTGCAGGCAAGATGCTGAGTTAGCTCACTGACTTCCTGTGAGTGGGGTCTGCTCAAATACAACAAGCTCTAACAGTAACATAAGGCTCTGCAGTATCTGGAAGACTGTCGGTATATTGCTGTGCCTAAGCTTGGGATACCAGATTTTTAATGTATTGTTCAAAAATAGGAAAAATAACTTTGTGGCTTTTTCCAGTGTCATCTGAGATGTGGAAAAAATCAATCCCATAGAGAAAGATGTAAAAGCTCAACAGAGTAATTAAAAAAATAAGGACCAAGTCTTGAGATCATTATGAAGAATCTTTATGGGGCAGAATATACTACTTACTAAAAGATTCTTCAATCTGGCAAAGACCTAAACAAGCATCTGTGATGTGCACTATAGAAAGTGCGGAGGACCTAGCTGCTCCACAGGCCTCCATGCAGTGGTGGGACCATCACAGAAACTGTTTCATGTACCAATCTTAAAAAGAAAATGGAAAAGGTACTAGAAAATTGCAACAGAATTCTTGCCAGATATGGTGGTTGTTCTGGTTTGGTTTTAATTTGGAGAACATCAGTAACACTGAAACTGCACCTCTCCAATGACAGTTACTTTCATTAGGCTGACACTTCCTTACCATCATCCTCCCTCATTCCATAGGGAAATATTTAGCAGCCACCTGGTGACATCCTTTTGTTTTTCATAAATAAACACTGGCAAAAAGACCTTAAACATGAACCTCAAACAAAGGTTTTATAATGTATCTTAAAGCCATCTGAAAGTCCTTGCACTGCTCTCTACAGCAGCCCACACCCTCCAATCAGGTGTCACTGGAACTGGAATTGCTCCTACTGCAGACAGAATGGGAACCACGAATAAAGCCCGATCCTAATTGTGAGGGCTCCTGGCTACAATTTAAGAGAAAAGAGAATCAGTGATCCATGTAATAAGCCCAACAAGAAACTTGGGGCAGGTTTATGTTACAAAGCCTCCCTTACATTCAGACAAAGGGTTGCAGAGCCAGCCACACCTTGCACAAACTGAAAGGCCTGGTGACTCTGTATGGTGGATACCACTGTGTGACAAAAGAAGTCTTTCACTTCCTCAGGTGATGCACAAAGCATGCAGTTTTTCTACCAGCAGGGAAAACAACCAAAAATGCAAAAAACCTCCTTTGCCATATAACCACTAAGAAACCACTAAGAGATCTGCAAATAACAATAATATTGCAGAGGTTTCTACATAACAATTAAGATTAGCAATGGCACAACACTGCCACACAGCACGTCTCCTTTGACAGTGAGCACAAACAACATGGTGAGGATGATGGATTTATGTACCAGTAATTTCAAAACATTAACATGAAACAACATGTGAAAGGGAGACAACAGAAGAGAATGGAGTATGGCAAGTGGAGGTTATAAAAAAACAAGTAAGTTTAGATAGTCTAGCTAGAGACGTGAATGAAAATATAAGTAAGGTTCAGAAGCCAGAGGTCATAGAAATTATCAGAAAGGAAGAAAGTGTAACAACATAACACAGCACTATCTGGTTCTTCATGAAGTAGCTAATGCCAGGTAAACACAACCTCTTCACTGTCTCAGTTGAAAGCAAATAAACTAAATCCTGACAAAAACAACTGCTCAGTGTAATGTTTAGCATCTTGGAGAGCCAGCAGAGTTCTGCCCCAGTAGGCGTTCTCCCTTTTCCAATGTAACAGTGCCCACATCAATCCCCTGGAGAGAAGTGAAGAATAAAAGAGAAGGCAAGGCACAAGAAGCCAGAGAAGCAGCTTTAGACACCATAAAGAAGAAAACAAAAGAGCATCAGCAGCAGTATACTAGTTCCATGTAAAGCTTTAACTGCCCCGGTATCCTAGGTCTGACAGTGGACGACCTTAGATGAAGGAAACGTTAAGTAAAGAATGGCTTGTGTCTGAATGTACCAAGACAAAACTGTTCAGCAAATTTTAAAGGACAACACAATGAGATTCCCTTGATGGAGCAGAAAGGATGGGTGGCAAGAGACCAAGAAGTGGACTAGAAGAAGCAAAGCAGGAACTTAAGGACAAAGTGGAAAAAGGAAACTAGGTGACAGCATAGCACCAGAGCCAAACATTTGTGGGAGGAGATAAGATGCATTTGAATGGGAAGAAGATATGGAGCTGGGTAACTTAAATACACAGGAGTTTAGAGGAAACAACTTGAGAGTGTGGGATTTTTTATCTGAGGGCCACTCAAATTCAAACTACAAGGAGGAAAGGAAGAAAAAGGAAGAAAACACATCAGAATATTTTGCAGGAAAGGAAAGAGAAGAAGGAGGAAACAGCAATACAAATTTTTTTTAAATTTTGCTTTCTAAGTGAAGAGTAGGGGAAAAAAAAGACTTCCAACAGGAAAGCAACTGGACAAGCTGACTGGTGAGCTAGCACCTCTACTGTATAAATCGAGTTTGTGCAGCCACATCTGCACATCAGATGGACTTTGTCAGGAGAAACCCAAGCAGAAGAATGGTAAAGGACAAAAAAGTCAAAGGAAATTACAAAGCCACTGGAGTCTAGAAAAGCCCTGAGGGGAAGTGACTTTATGTAAGCAGCACATGATCAGCACAATGAGTCACCTACCCAACAAGGCACAGCTCACACTCTGCTCACGCTCTACTTGGAGGATGTTATGATGGCTGAACAAGTGATAAAAACTCCCACTCAAAAAAGGTTAACAATTTTATATTTAAAACTGAAGAAGAGTGTATTCTATTTATAGAATCAGTTGAAAGTGTTTCAGCAGTGGCACGGCTCCTGCTGGCATCAGAACTTTAAAATAGTTATGAGACTTCTACAGACAAAAAAGGTAACTGCAAGAAACCCAATGGCATGCAAGATCTAATAATAAAAATCCAGGGCACACTTTTTTTTTTTGGGTTCACCTCAGCTAATATGTTGCTACCAGGAAAGGCAGAAACAGCCCATCTCCCTTTCTTCCAGCTACACATACCTCTTACTTCCTTTGCAAAGGATTTATTACATGTTTTAGCCCTACACGAGCCAATTCAGCTCATCCAATAGAAAACGTAGAAGACAAGGAAATTGTTTTCTGCAGCATAAGCTAGTTGAACTGCCTCACCCTGAGGCTGGAGAAGTGCAACTGATACAAGGGAGAAAACAAGAATCTACAGCCATCAGCAGCAGAGACTGCTGTGGGACCATCACCCTCAGCAGCTACCAGCAGTTAAATTAGCTTAACAGCTGGCGTAATCACATCCCTGGTGAAATCATACCTGGAAATAACTCTGAAATAAACTAACCCTTTCAAGGCAGTGGATTTGGAACCTTCTACATCTCTCCAAATCTCTAAGCCAAAGTGAGAGTTAAGTTTTTTGTATATGTAAAACTACGCCCTACTCCATGGTAGCTGCTCTGGCTGGAATACCACCAGACACGTAATGCACATAATGCAATGCCAGACCAGGTGACTATCACAAGAAACTGCAGTCTGATAAATCAAACTTGTTTCTAATAATATAAAAGAAACCTCCAAGTGTAGCTTCCTCAGCCAACTTTCTGTCTTTCCAGAAAGTCTTCATAATACATACATTGCAGAAAGAGCCCTACAACTTCTCACCTTACTAGCTCTCAATCCATCATACACTTGGATGAAAAAAAAGATTTTAGCCCACAGTTTTCTAAAAAAAACCAAAAAAACCAACCAAAACAAAACAGCAAACTTTTTTTCCTCAAATTCTGTTTCAGACAAAACCACTTTGACTCAGAAGACAAACAAACAAAATGTAGAGTTTTCTGCAAAGACAGCAAGTTGAAGAGGCTTACAGAGGTGTCCATCAGCTAGACACCAGACCTAGTGCAATGCCCCACTGATCAGGAACAGTTTACCCTTCTCAAAAGAAGTAAGCCTTCAGAACAGATCAGCTGCCCCAGATTCTTACCTTAACTCCAAACAACCCACCTGCAATTTCTTCTGTCATTAACATATGAGATGTGATAGCTATTTCTCCATGGAGGTGATTAGAAAGACCAAAAAGTCTTCCTAACCCATCAAGTACATGCCATAATTTTCAAAGACCAAATTTTAACAATGAACTTATCAAAAGTGAGATTCATGAGCAGATTCTGATATTATCACATAATTATTGAGTTTCATTAAGTTTGAAATCACTTTTCTAAATCTAACAAAAATGTCTTTACCGGAGCGTGTCTGGCAGATCCTCAGGTGGAATACTCATCACCAGCTTTTGGAATGTATGGAAGAGTTCCACTTTACAGATCTTGGATCTGATAGAAAAAAAAAAATAAAATCAGGAATTCTGATGGAAAAAGGATTCAGAAATGTACTTCCTCTTACACCTCACAGTATTACATCCCAGCTGAATGTTTTTGATGAAAAACATTTTCACTTCTCAAAGAATGTAGAAAGTTCTCAACAATTTAACTTTTCCTACCCCATCCAAGTGGCCCACCTGCCTTTTTACTTTGTTTAAATGTTGTACTGACAAAGAGCTCTGTTGCCACCATGGTGCCAGCCAGCACTCTTATCAGTTTGCAGAGAACATTTTAATAGCCACACATTGTTATCTGTGTGAGAGTGCACCATCATCAGATCACAACTACAGCAAGATTGAGCCAGAAGGAGTAGTCCCAGAACTGATCAAACAAGCACAGGAGGACTTGAAAGGCTTGTTCAAACTGGCAGACTTATTCAGAACAAATAAAAGAATCAGGAGGACTAGATGGAACAATGCTGTCCTTCTCACAATAGTGACAAGGACACACACAGCAACAGCTGCAAAGCAGTTAAATATTAAAAGGCTCATCAAAAAATAAAGTGAGTCAAAGTTTGAAGATACCATATGCATCTCAGTCAGCTTTAAGCCCCTCACCCTCCCCAAAGAGAACACAGCTAGAAGAGCTGTTTATAAAGCATGGTTCATTTTTGAGAGCCCCAGCTATTTTCTCTATTTAAGTAAATTCTCTTTATACACTTGTCTTTACAATGACTGAGCTCTCCAACAAGTGCAAACTGATTCTCCAGAAACACTGAAAAAAACCACCAGTCAAAAAAAACCTTTCTATTTTGGTAGTATGTTCTTTAAGAACCTCAAAATTGGCATGCAAAGATGTTCTAAAATTTCATCTTCATGTTAATCTGCCAGTAGTTCATATTGTATTTTCTGGTGTTTTGGTTAAATAAGTATTAACAAAAGCACATACCAGACATCTACCTACAAATTCCTTTTAGTCAGTCAGCTTTACCTTCCTTGATATTTAGTGTTATCTAGCATACAAGGGGGGGAAACTCTAAACAACACCCCCCACGAATCACCATGAGCTTCCTTGAGGGAAATTAAGTCCTGTTTATTATTAATCACCCACTGCCAGTAAGGATATGAATTCCTTATTTTCATGATAGAAGTTCCTTTCGTGACGATTTATCACACCAGTGTGAACAGTTTACGTATTCTTTGACAGACGTTTTTAATCCTGATTTCCTAAGGAAACAAGGCCTTTGAAGTCACACAGTCTTGTAGGCCCTCTCCCATAATTTCTGAATGTTTTAGTAAATTTTGGGCACATGTAAAAGAGAGGAGGAGCTCTCAACAATAACTAAATTTCTACAGCACACTGGCACCTAGCAGTGGCTCTAGAGTTTGAGAGTTGAGGATCCACAAATGCTACGTAACAAATTTAAGCCTACTGAGAAGAAGAGGTTGTTTGGTTTGTCTGATCTTTCACACATCTTCTGGAATACATTACATACCACCTAATGAAAACTAATATTCCACTGTGCACATAAAGCCTGTCTCAAAAGACACACTAAGTCACCGAGGTCACCTGTGCTAACAATACCCCACAAACCAATGTCACACATAACAGACCACAAAGCTAGTAGTCCTCTTCTTTCAGGGAAAACTAGAAATACTAGGATATACCAGGATAACCTTCAGTCAATGAGAAGCTCAGAACATGCAACTCTCAGGCATGTGAATGAATTATCCTCTAGAATTGTCCAAGATCTACTTATTCACTACTGTCAGGACTATCATATTTCTCCCAGAAAGCCCAGGAAAAAAAAGAACACCATGACCATTGATAAACCGTAGTATAAGCAGCCAATAACCAAAACATGACTGCAGCCCTCAAGCTGAACTTCCACAGACCAGTGCTAATTTTGGTCACCTCACCTAAACCGAGAAAGGTGTAGAGAGAGATTTGTCTGCAGATGTTTACAAGTAATTCCTCTCAACCACAAGAAAAATGTGTAACTGTTTCTTTAAACATGGATTATGATGTTTCTTAGAGAGCACAGTGTCAAGAAACTATTGGAAAGTGACATGTTTTGTGTTAGGAAGATGCTACAGGCACTTCATAACATTTTAAAACTTTAAAGCAGAAAGCCACATTGCAAAACAACAGTTTTAACAATCATACAAGCAGATCAGCTGGCTGACTCTTACAGAAATCTAGAAGAAGGACCTGTAGAACACGCATTTCCTTCACAGTCACCAACTCAAGAGATACAAAGCAAAAATTCTGCTAATTTCAACGATAATCTATATTTTAATAAAAATTTATCGTAATCCACCACCACCATTACCTACAATTCTAGTTTTAATCAACAGTGAAAGCAAAGAAATAGGATAAACTTGTTAACCCTCATCAATTTTTGCCATTCCAACTCCCCTTCTCTCCCTTACACAGTGACTCTTCTCTTTCCCCAGCTCCCTGCCTTTCCCCTTTTTTCCTCACTCCCTGTATTTCCTCTACTCTGACAATACGCCAGGCACCACATGAGCTGACAGACGTGTGTGTTGGCTAACAAAAAAGATCTCTGCATTCAGACACCACAACATTTTCATACCTGCTCTGATGGCTCCCAATCATCTTCTTTGTTGTTCCCTGACGGAAGCCATCTGAGGTGACATCCAGAGGCTGCTCAGGGACTGCAGTCCAACTGATAGCTGCAGAAGAAAGGATTATGAACAAGGGATATGCTCTCATCACAAAAGCAGAATTTAACAGTTCGTTTCATTCCACGTGTTCACGTGATACCATGCTGATTCCCAAAATAATTCAGACTACTTGCACCAGACAGTCTACATCTTCCTTATTTACTGTGTGCTACTATTTTATTATGTATGGTATGCTCCAAATAGTTCTCTCTGAGTTTGATAACTGACATACATCAAATATTTGCTGACTGTACTTAAAAAATATTATTATCTAGAAGTCAAATAAAAATAATCTGTTCAAAGACATAGCAAGTGCCAACAACCTTATCCTTTACCATTCTGGTTACCTTATTATCATCTTAAGACTGTAAACTTCTTAATGCTGAAACTCTGCATACCATGCCTCATAGATTCATAAATAAGGACCAAAGCTCAGTGGCATGTTAACAGCAACAAAACTGTATACCTAATCTGTCCTGCAATATCCTGAAAACAGTTTTTAACTTCTACTGCTGTCCTGGGTTCAGCAGTAGCAGTAATTTTTTCTCCTTCTTAGTAGCTGATGCAGTGCTGTGGTTTTGACTTTCAGCCTGGGAACAGCGCTGATAACACCGATGGTTTTAGTGTTGCTCAGTAATGTTTACTCTGACCAAGGACTTTGTGAGCCTTATGCTCTGCCAGGGAGGAGGGGAAGACAGGAGGAAGCAGAGACAGGACACCTGACCCAAACTAGCCAAAGGGGTATTCCATACCACAGCGCATAAAGTGGGGACAGTTACATGGAAGGGCTAGATCGATGCTTGGGTTGGGCTGGGTATCTGTAGGTGGGTGGTGAGCAGTTATATTCTCTTCCTTTGTTATTTCCCTTATCATTATTATTATTGGTGGTAGCAGCAGTGGTTTATGTTACACCTTAGTTACTGGACTGCTCTTATCTCAACCCGTGGGAATTACATTCTTTCAATTCTCCTCCCCATCCCTCCTGAGGGGAGAAAAAAAGAGGGGAGACATTTTTTGTTCCCTAAGTTCTCCCATTTTTCTGTGTTCCTAACAGGCAAAACAGCTGCACATGCATTAACTCTAAAGAAAATATTCAGTTTTTCTCCTTCATGATACCATCTTGCCATTCAAGATGCTCAAAACCTACACATTATAAAGCATATTATGGCAGCTGATTATGTTAATCGCACTCGTATCGTGATTCAGCTGTATGCTGCAATTACCCTGCTCTCCTAAGTGTAAATGGTACTTGCACTGTGATTTAGGTACAATGCTGTATCGCTCTGCTGAATTAAAATTCTGTGTAATGTCAAACAACATGAAATACAAAAAACTGTTACTGAACACTTCATCTTACATGTGGGGAGTATCTAAAACCACCTGGTCAGAGTCTGACATCCTCTGACAAAGAGATAAAAATCTACTTAAACATGAGAATGTTTTTCTTTTTTTTTCCTTTTTTATAGCACAAACTTCAAAATATTAAAAAGAACACATTTCTATTTTTAATACCAGCTGCAATGTTCCTATCAAGCATATTTCAATCCTCAATGTAACAGCCCTGAATTTATTCTGATTTTCACCTCTTCAAGAAAAAAAATCAACACGGCATAATTTCTATATGCAAAAAAGTGTGATAAAGCATCATTCATCTTTATTTAATAGACTGACATGGGTAACTGTACAGAAAGAAAGTCATACACAGGGATTTAGCAGCTGGCTTCAGATCTTTTTTGCAAAGTAAACTGGCACCATTTTTCAATGATGGATTTTGTTTCCTATCTCACAGAATCAAAATATTTTCCTTCCTGGCACCTGCAAAAAATCCAATCTAATGAATCTGAATTCCATTCAGGAACCCTTTGTTTGCAGTCTGTTTTATCATCAGGTCTATTGTAGGAGAATAATTTCCAGTTCCAGTTAAGCCAGAAAAGTATACAACAGCAGAGGGTAGGCATGTCCAAGCTTAAAGAAACTGTTTAACTAGTACTAGTAACCGTACATGCATGGTGGCAGCTCCAGTGTTTGAGTTTTTTCCCAAAAGACACCATGTTGCTAAATCACAGCGTGACTTGCATATTCATTCATCACCATGACAAAAAATGCAATGTCCAAACCCTCTATCAATTAAACCCTCACACTATACTACTCTGTATTCTTTTTACGTTCACAGATTTCTGCAGCAGTTACAAGCATAACTCAGCACGGCAAGTCTTCTGTTCATTACCAAGGAGAATGCAAAACTAACTGAAACAAGCAGCCTTTTGATATTTTGGGGGTTTTTAGTGACCTCAGAACTTCCACTTTAGCTGCTTGTTTCCTGTCTTTGTTTAGCTTAGAAATTCTTCATGGCATCAACCAGGTGTTCATTCAGTCTGAAAACTACCTGCAGAGAACTAGAGGCTGAGCTGAGTATTATTAATTATTAACAATTAAGTTCTGACCTGAAATTAATTCCTTGCTCTAAGTCACATGTTGCCTCTAGCATTGGCGATGAATGATGTTCCATTTTAGAAAACCAGAAAAACCACCTCATTTCTATTTGGATTTCTGCACACAGTTATGCAACTAGCCCAGGTGAACTCACCTGCACTGCAAGGCACAAGTTTTGTTTTGCTGTTAGTCTGCGCTTCCTGAATTGCCTGACGGCTGTGCTCAAACTGAAGATCTGACTGCAGCAGCTTAACCTCCTGGGTGACAAAACCAGCTGGTAAACATGAGATGTGCTGACACCTAAAGTAGGCACAGAAAAATGCAAGTGATTTTAAGTCTGCTCTTCCTAAACAAGCTGATTTTGTGCAGTTTCCACCCACAATCTAAAATATGTTACTTTTTACATTAAAACTGAATTTAGCATGAGTTATGGAAGAAAGACAAGGAGGCTTGAGGGCACGTTTCCCTTCAAAAAAGTATTTGCTAAAAAAACAAAGCGACCTAGTTTGTTAAGACTTTGTCCATCTTAAAAAAATGTGACTGATTTTTAAAAAGGTCTAGATATAAGGGTTAGTTAACCTTCCTAATCAATGGAGGTAAAATACGGAGGATAAAGACTGCAATAATCAAAGTGTTTACATAGTAAACCATATTACACTAACAACTGTTTTATGAACCTGGAAGTTCATAATCAAAGACTAAAAAGGTACAAGATACATTTGCAGTTACATGCATAATCTTACCTGCGTTACTTTAAATTACTGCTACACACTGAATGGGATTATGATTGTATGAGGAAAGACATCAAGTATTACAGAGTGAGGAAAGAATTACCCAGTAAACTCCACTGCAGAGATAGCTATAGAGTTTCCCCAATTAATATACTATGATGTCTTTTATAACCATCCTAGAAGGATGCAACGCTATGGAGAAAAGGAGTTACTAAATAAACCTTTCAGAGGAACTGGTGTAGTAACTGGCTCTTAATGGGAGAGGTTCAGCTCCTGGGTTTCCTTCTTGTCCTCCTTTCCCTTCACTCTGCCCTGTTCCACTTACTGTCCTTTAAAACTTGCAGATACCTTTGTTGAACTGAACCAACCTCCTAAGCAAGAGAAATACTCACTTCCAATCCTTTTGTTGCTGGAATAGTTTTCATCAACTCAGAGTTGTGAGGAGCAAGAAAGCCAGTGAACACCAGAGGATTTTCTTCATTTAGCAGCAGTGCACCTCACCTCGCATAAACTTCCCTGAGGTGACAAGTTGTGTTACCAGAACACTGCTCACAGTAAAGTGAAGCATTCCACTATATAATGAAAAACTACACAGGGTGTAGTTCAGATCAAAGAAGCAGACAGATTTTTACCACCACAGATAAGCACCTACACTTGGCATTTCCAGTCTAAGACAACTCTGTTTTCACAGCCGACCAGTGCAAGCTGTCACATGCTAGGTGACACATCCTGCATGACTCTTCGAAGCAGCCTGCTCTCCTGAAGTCCATGGTTGTGAGTTTGCTTTTTACTTCCTTCCCTCCCCTTGGAATCCTGAACTCCACCAATTCATGGTCACTGCAACCAGGGCCTCTTTTGCCTTTCACATCCCCACTGATCCCCTCATTGTCGGCGAATATGAAGTGCAGCAGAGTACCTCTCCTCCTTGGCTCCTCTCTCTGCCATTTCAATCATTCCTAATGGTGGGTCAGGTTCAAAAAATAAAATTCTTTCTACATTGCAGAGCAGGAGGATGAGAAACAAGTACGCCAAAGCCAGATTTAAGAAGCCACAAATCTCATCCTTTACAGAAGCTGAAGGCCCAGTCTCACAGCAGAATTCTGAAGTGCATCCCTCAGAAGGCATGAAAACTACAAAAGGTGAGCTTGCACTGCACATTCAAAGCGTGAATGGAAGTGGTGGGACGGACCAGGCAGAGATACTAGCTTGCATGGGAAGTGTGAAGTGTCCCAGAAGCATGAACTTTTGCTCAAGAAGCTGGCAAATGAAGTTGCTAAGCCACTGTCCATCATATTTGAAAAATCATGGCAGTCAGGTGAAGTTCCCAATGACTAGAAAAAGGGAAATATAACCCCCACTTTCAAGAAGGGGAAAATGGATGACCCGGGGAATTACAGAGCAGTCAGTCTCACCTCTGTGCCTGGCAACATCTTGGAGCAGATTCTCCTGGAAGGCATGCTAAGGCACATGAAAAACAACAAGGTGCTTGGTGACAGCCAGCATGGCTTCACTAAGGGGAAATCCTGCCTGACCAATTTGGTGGCCTTCTATGATGGGGCTACAGAACTGATGGACAGGGGTAGAGCAGTTGATGTCATCTACCTGGACTTGTGCAGAGCATTCGACACTGTCCCACATGACATCCTTGTCTCTAAATTAGAGAGACATCAATTTGATGGATGGACCACTGGGTGGATAAAGAACTGGCTGGATGGCCGCATGCAAAGAGTTGTGGTCAATGGCTCAATGTCCGGCTGGAGACCAGTAACGAGTGGTGTCCCTCAGGGACTGGTGTTGGGACTGGTCCTGTTCAACATCTTTGTCGCTGCCATGGGCAGGGGGATTGAGTGCACCCTCAGCAAGTTTGCTCATGACACCAAGCTGTGTGGTTCGGTTGATACCCTGGAGGGAAGGAATGCCATCCAGAGGGACCTGGACATGCTTCTGAGGTGGGCTGATGCCAACCTCATGGAGTTTAATCATGTAAAGTGCAGGGTCCTACACCTGGGTCGGAGCAATCCCAGGCACAGCTACAGGCTGGGCAGAGAAGAGATTCAGAGCAGCCCAAGGAGAAGGACTTGGGGGTGTTGGTTGATGAGAAAATGAACGTGAGCCGGCTTCAGTGTGCGCTCGCAGCCAAGAAAGCAACCGTATCCTGGGCTGCATCAAAAGGGGCGTGACCAGCAGGTCAAAGGAGGTGATCCTGCCCCTCTACTCTGCTCTTGTGAGACCTCACTTGGAGCACTGTGTGCAGTTCTGGTGTCCTCAACATAAAAAGGACATGGAACTGTTGGAACAAGTCCAGAGGAGGCCACAAGGATGATCAGGGGCTGGAGCACCTCCCATATGAAGACAGGCTGAGAAAGTTGGGGCTGTTCAGCCTGGAGAAGAGAAGGCTGCGTGGAGACCTCATAGCAGCCTTCCAGTATCTGAAGGGGGCCTATAGAGATGCTGGGGAGGGACTCTTCATTAGAGACTGTAGTGACAGGATAAGGGGTATCAGGTTAAAACTCAAACAGGGGATGTTTAGATTGGATATAAGGAGGAAGCTCTTTACTGTGAGGGTGGTGAGGCACTGGAATGGGTTGACCAGGGATGCTGTGAATGCTCCATCCCTGGCAGTGCTCAAGGCCAGGTTGGACAAAGCCTTGGGTGAGATGGTTTAGTGTGAGGTGTCCCTGCGCATGGCAGGGGGGCTGGAACTGAATGATCTTAAGGTCCTTTCCAACCCTAACTATTCTATGATTCTATGAATATGAACAGAAACAAGTGCTGACATGAGATCATGACTTTTCAATCTGGTTGCCAAACAGACTCATCTTTCTAAACCTAAATGTACTCCACCACACCACAGAAATTTCTGTGCTAGTTCCCGAAGTCAGTTTCCAAGGGATGCACAGCTCACCTGAAGACACAAGGAACAGTCTCACAACTTTAGAACAGCAGCTTTCACAAGCTTCTACTGAGAACGGCTGACAATATAATTTTGAAATTTTACATGGGATGGACTTATATGCAAATGCAATAACCCAAATATTAACCTCCTGGGAAATTTTAAGTTCAGATCCAAGCTCAGAAAGACAGCAAAAAGTAAACTGGTTTTACTACAATTCCCTTCCAAGTAAGTTTAATATACTGCCTCTTTTAGTTGCTAGAAAGTTAGTTTGAAAGCAGGGTCTAAAATCAGTGAAAGCTGAATTTAAGGCTGTTATAAAGGTCTGGAAGGACAACCAGAAAGACAGTGCAAAAGTCTACCTATGCATTTACTTGGAGTAATTTCAGATTGCATTTATGATGGATGGATTTGCGAGGTTTTTAATTTAATATTAGGAATGCTGCTGCACGACATAAAAGCTGCTTTTGCTCATCAACACAGTTATGTAAAAGGAACCTTACTACTCAGAATGACTCTCTGGAGTACGGATAACTGAATAAATTGAGAAGTCCAACTTCACTACACTGACTGCATGTCCTTCCAGCTGCTTTTTCTGCTGGAAAGCTTTTAGAAAAACTCTGGTGGGTAACAGCTCCTCAGTGCTCTGTGATGGGACAACCAAGGGGATCCAGAATCTAATGGAAACTCTTTTGTGAATCTTCAAGTCTGATCCACCAGCAGGAGTCACCTTTTCTCCATACTCCACAGGGCCACTTTCTGAAAATGTGAATTTGCAGAAATTGACATTTTCTGCATATGACCCTGGAAAAAAGTTCTGGTATTTGTGTGATATGTTGTCTTCCATAATTCATTGTCTCCATACACACTATGTGATTTCCAGAGAACACTTACCTTTCAATAATTGCTCTCCTCATGACTTCTTGGCTATATGGACACTTCCCCACTATAATTGCTGACAGATATAATGGATACTGCAGGAAATGCATCAGAAGAGCTCCTTGACACCCTAATACATTCCAACGAGCCAGTTTATCACTGCAGGACATTGAGCATGTTCTGTCCCCACGACCTGGCTTCACTCGTAATAACCCCACACAGTGATAACCTAGTCCAGGTATTCGGGCATCACTCAGCTCTCCAGGCACGCATTTTGCTCCAGTTCTATAAACATCTGCTACCTTTGGTCTCCTTAAGGTAGTCTCCTTATCAGCTGTTTGCCTCTCTGCAGAACCTTCACAGCCCTCTGGATTTGCATCATCTTCTCGTTCCACAGATCCTTGCTGAACAGTCAGGCCTTCAGTGATTACAGAAAAATAACCATCATTGTCAGTTTTCATTCTCTTGATTTTATGGTCACTTGCCATTTTCTCTGATTTCCTTTTATCTTCTAGACCCAAATGATCATGGTTACTTCTACACTCTGCTAACTGTCCAACAGCATCAGCTCCAGTTGCTGGCTTACAAAGCTGGTTCACTGGTTCACTCATTGGAATAATAGAAGCATCTCCACCTACAACAGAAGAAATAATATTTAAATTTGCCAAATGTATCTCTTGTGATTGGAACACATCACAGCAGTACTATGATGACTGCTATTGGCTTTCACAGATTTGCACTCAGGAAAATTTTAACTACAAGAACATGCTTTTCAAGCAACACTGATGTACAATGAAGAATCAGATTTCATTGAAATTTTATCCAACCTATGTTTAATTTCATGTTTTCCATTCTACGTAAGAAATAATCAACAAAGCAAAATTTAAAATAAAAATCATAAAGCTAAAGGTGTCATTGGCATCTGACAGACCACAGGCAGTGCTGAAGACTCAGAGGAAAACTAGTCTGATCTAACTAAACAATACAGCTCTCAAAGGAGTAAGTAAATAATAACCTATCAAATAAAAATGCAAATTTTAATCTGTATTATTAAAACAAGATCAAAACAGAATTCTGAAGCTCAGTTCAAAGCCAACCAGGCATGACAGGTATGTGAGAAAAAGGCAGTCAGGAAACTATTCTTGCTATTAAATTTGAAGATAGATGTGGACTCTATTCTGATATTGCATTACTAAAGAAAACCATCATAGTATATTCCAGCAACACCATCAAAATCACACAAAAGTATGAGCAACTAATTCACTATGTGAAGTACTAATGAGGTGTATTTTGAGAGCACTGTGATCTCTTGACTCTGGTAACAGACTAGCAGTTGAAGAATATACTGGTAAGATTGTGATAACATTGAGACCTCCATTAAAATGACAGACCCAAGAAGTCTCATTCCTACATTTTGCTAATAGATCTCATCTTTGTGATGTTTGTTGGTTTGGTTTTTTTAACAAAAGTGTTTTCCTGGACAAAACAAGAAGTTGCATCCATCTCATAAGTTTTGGATTAGGGGACTGTTCTGTAGGTGGGAATTTTGGTTGTTTTGTGGGAATTTGGTTTTAATTTGTTAGAGGGTTTTTGGTTTTGTTATGGTGGTGTGTTGTTTGGGTTTGGTGGTTTTTTCTTTGGTTTGATTGAGTTTTATCTTTTTTTTTAGTGGTTTGGGGGTTTTTGTGTGTCCTGCATTCAGTTGTAACAAGTCACTTTTCTCCGTCTTAGTATCTGTTGCAGTGCTGTGCTTGGGATTGAGTCTGAGAACACTGCTGATAACACATGGGTGTTTTCATTGTTGCTCAGCAGCACTTACCACAGTCAAGGACTTTTCAGTCACTCATGCTCTGCCAGTGAGGAGGGACACGGGAAGCCAGGAGGAGCAGAGACAGGACACCTGATCCAAACTAACGAAAGGGGTATTCCATACCACAGCACATCATGCCCAGTACAAAAACTGGGGGGAATTACCCAGAAGGCCCAAATCAGTGCTTGGGTCAGTTATCTGTTGGCAGGTGATGAGCAATTATTTGTGCATCACTTGTGTTTACTGGTATTTTCCCCTTCCTTTTTTATTTTTATATTCTCTCTCCTTGTTATTCCCCTTATCATCATTATTATTGGTGGTAGCAGTAGTGATTTGTGTTATACCTTAGTTACTGGACTGGTCTTAACCCATGGGAGTTACATTCTTTCCATTCTTCTCCCCATCCCTCCAGGAGCAGGAGGGAAGAAGCGGGGCGGTGAGCAAGCAGCTGCATGGTTCTGGGTTACAGGCTGGGCTTAAACAATGGCTGTGGTTGGGGTTATTTTGGTTGTTATCGGCTTTTTTTCTGAGGTTTTGTGTTTGATGGATTGCTGGTTTTGGGTTTCTTTGCTTGCTGGGTTTTTTTTAAGGAACTGTGATAATTGGCAATGATACCATTATAATTTGAATCCAAGGAGACAATGTTTAAAGCAAAGCAATCAGGAGACATGACAGGACCTCTGACAAGTATGTTAGTTTCTGGGAAATAGAATAGTAGCTGTTATCATCTAAAGAGAAAGCGAAGCATTCCACTATATAACGAACAACATACCAGATTTCCTGAATTCTCACAAATCACATCCAGTGAGAAAAAAATGCCAAATGTATGTGTGAAGGACCAGTCAAGTACATCTTAGGGCACATACTAATAACATGAATTACTGCCTCACACTCGCTCCAGACCAAAAAGACCAAAAAGACCAAAGGCAGGGGGCAGAAGAGATTCTACAAGTGAGAGCAATGAAATTAGTTCACTCCAGCATACTCACATGGGGTGTGACTGGAGAAGAAAACAAATATGACATTTGGTTTGAGTTTCCATTTCCCAGTTTCAGTTCCTGGAATAAAGATACTGCATTGCTGATGGGAAGCTGCCAGCCACATCTGATGGAGAAGATACCTGTTAGGCAGAAAGTTTTCATGAAACATTTACTTCATTTCTGATGCGTGGGAAAATAACAAACATGAGACACCCACTAGTGCCTGTCCTGTCCTGATGAAGTCTGTGAGGAGCAAGGAAGTTTTGCTTCTAAAGATAGATGGGATCCAACATAATCCATAAACAAAAAACACATCATTGGAACCTTAGTAACAGCAACCTGACAGGGTCAGATTCAGTGGAGTTAAATGTCTCTTCAAATCACGTCTCTGTTCTGTAGCTTTACTATTCTCCTGTCTGGGTTCCTTGAACCAGCTTATCCAATGTGAACACGACAGCTGTTATGTAGGAAAGAGAAAAAAGGCTACCCTTGACAGCTACTCATCAAATCAGCACTGACATCACATGAAATCAGATCCTACTTTGTTCAGAGGCTCTACAAGAACAAAGAAACAAGCTTTTGTGAAAGGGCCTTCACACCACTTAAAAGTGTAAAAATTAAGCTAAACTGCTTGTTGCAAAGGGGAAAAAAAGTGTTGCCTACACAGAAGTAATACCATTCTCTTTCATTACACTCTTATCCCTGAGGCTGCAAAATACGGCTATTTTGTTATAGGTCAAAACATTTTTATCAAAACAACCAACCTCAAGAGGCACTGAGTAACAGCACGTAAACTTCATGCCTCACCTCTGGAAGCTCCTCTTGGCCACAATTTCAGCATGACTGTCATTCAGAACATCTCCTGAAGCAACAACCAAATGAGAACATTATGCAACATTACTAAAAAGGAGACAACAAAGCAAACAAGATTTGACAGGTGTCAGTTCTCCAGATTTGTTAGCATGTGAAGGTTTAACATTGGTATTCGGTTACTGCAAGATATTTACAATTCCTATAGCTACAAAAGGAGGTCAACAGCCTACTCAAATGAAGGATAAAACTCTTCACTCCGCAGCAAACCAGAGACTTGTTGAAATACCAAATTGTAACTCTTCTGGCATCTGAAATCCTTTGAGTTGAATAAACACTGGCTTCCTTCAAAACCCTCATGGTGTTTTTTCTAAATGGTAACTCTTTATATTCTCAGATGAAGCATAGCATTCAGAAAATTTTAAGTGTTTGTTAAGCTGTTGGGTGAAATCTCTTGTTGCACTATGTACAATATAAATTACTTTTCTTGTAAATAACACTGATATTTACCAGATTTACACATCTCACCGTCAAACTTCCAGCAATATCTGCCTACTGCAGTATCTAAAGGAACAGGATCTGCAGATCTACCTAAAGAAGGTAGAAAGCCCTGTACCTACATATTTACAAACACTTTTCCTTTAGTTCCTATAGCTTCTGCCCTCTCCTAGGAGAGGGAACAAACATCCCGAGTAAAGAAGCAGACATGCAGAGCAAAATCCTACAATAAATGGTAAGAAATGTAGCTGTGAGAAGTCATGTTTGTGCCACACACACTATTGTACATATACCTGAAACTAGCTAGCTGCACAACACATGGTAAAGAGAAGTAGCCTGTTAGTACATTCCTGGTGCCATCCCTCCCCTAACTCAGCAGTGGCTCTTTCGCATCAGGCCACAACAAAACCGGATCATCAGAGGTAACAGCAGCACAATTATTTTGCTTGTGTTTTGGTTTGCTTTTAGTCATGAACTCTTTGGGCATGCAGATGAAGGGCCTAAATTACACATTTTCACATATATAAAGTTTATTCACCTTCAAGGCAGCAAGTACAACAAGCTCCAGGGCAGCCATTCTGGCTGCCTAAACTCCTCTCTTCTTAATGAAGTGAAACCTGCCTGACACTTCTGCCTTCAAGTCTGAGCCTGGGACATTTGCACCGATTTTATGACACCAGCAAGAAAAGGTAGCACAGGATGTCCGGTCTGAACACCATACTTACCAGTTTTTCTCATTTTGTTTTGGCCAATACATTTTGTTCCGGTTCCCATAGCGACAACTTCCTTTGTAACTGAAAAAGGAAACATTATTACTTAAACAAGCCGTGACCAGAAGCACTGCTCTCATAAAGTCATTGAGGTAACACACAGGACATTGTGTCAAAGGTAAGATACAGTAAGGCAGGCCATACCACATTCCAGAAAGGAAACAGTATCTCACCATCCAGAAAAGGTCTGTGATACATTACAGCAGCACTAGCACATGCCTGACATGCTTGGCTAGACCCTGCGACGCTGGCAGATGATTCCTCAAACTTGTAAGCAAGCATGGGATATAATTTGTGAAGCACTATGGAAGTGCCAGCAAAGGAAAAGGTAATGGGGAACTATCACCAACACAAAACGTAATAAGGCAGCCTGTTAATGGAGAGCCAGCTGAGACCTTCCAGCACTCTTTCAAGTAGCAGCTGAACACACCTGTGCAAGGGTTTACATTAGTAATTCAGGTCCTCCTAAACTTCTTTGCTCTCAGATACAGCCTGAGAAGAACAGAGCTTCACCATAACCGTCTCTTTCTAGGCAGAAGCGGTAAAAGCTTTTGCAAAGAGTAAAGCATTTGGGTGGAGACGCAAATGGGGTTTTTTTTTCAAAGGTATTAAATAAGAAAGCACCAAGGGCTGCCATCTCCTCTCCCCTTCGCCGCCAGCTGCCCCCGTCCCCACGGCTGTCTTACCCTGCAGAGCCCCTGCACTAGCAAGAACCTCTCTTTGGGTTGCGGACTCCACTTTGACAACAGCTGCCAGTGAAGTCCACTCCCTGCTTGGATCTGGCTTCCCCTGCTTAGGGAGCCTGCTCCTATAGTGCAGGCAGCACAGCTCAGCAACTTCATCAGCTGACCACGCGGCTCCCGAGAGGCGCCGGATCCCATCACAGCACTGATCTGCAGCCCCCTTCTCTCCCACTTTGCGCTGCATGCCGGTGTCCCGCCCCAGAGGCGCAGCCGCACCCCTCTCCAGCACCGTTTATACCGAAGAGCACCGCACGGAGCCAGGAACTGCCAGGACCGGGGCTCCCTCAGCGGCAGCGCCCTCAGCGCCCGGCCCCGGGCAGCGCCACACCGCAACTGCGCACGCGCAGCCCCGTGCCGCGGAGCCCGCCGGGAGCGGGTCGGCCGCGCATGCGCACACGAACACAGACACACACAGGCGAGGCGGGCGGAGTGGCGCTGTTTATTGACGCGACCGTCACACGGAGGTGCCCTCGGCGGGCGGCGCCTCCCTCTTGTCCTCCGGCTTCATGGCGGGGAACAGCAGCACCTCCTGCGGAAACGGCAACTGTCAGCGACACCGGCCCACCTCGGGCACCGCTCCCCGGCACGGGACACCGGCCCTGGCCCCGCGGCGGGCCCGGTCAGGCCTAAGTGCCGTGAGGGAAGCGTGTTCCATGGCATTGTGGAACCAGCCGGGTTGGGAAAGGCCTTTCACATCATCCCCTGCATTGCCCAGGCCACCCCTAACCCATGGTACTGCGGCCTCATCTTCACAGCGTGTGAACACCTGGAGGGACAGTGACTCCAGCAATGCCCTGGGCAGCCTGTTCCAATGCCTGAGCACCCTCTGGGGAAGGAACTGCTCCTAATATCAAAGAATCCCAGACTGGTTTGGCCTAGAAGGGACCTTAAGGCTCACCCAGTTCCAACCCCTGCCACGGGCAGGGACCCCTTCCACTAGAGCAGCTTGCTCCAAGCCCCTGTGTCCAACCTGGCCTTGAACACTGACAAGATGGAGCACTCTAAACCTCTCCTGGCACAGTTTGATGCCGTTTCCTCTTGTCCTATTTCTGGTTACTAGGGCAACTATCTTTCAGGTAGCTGTAGAGAGTGTTCTACTCAATGGCCATGGTGTCTGGTGTTGGTTAGAAAGGCAGGCTGTTCTGCAGTGTCACCCACCTGGTAGGTGCTGCCATTTCTACCACTCACCTTGATATTGTTGGAATCCGTCAGGAACATGGTGAAGCGATCAATGCCCATGCCCCAGCCTGCCGTGGGAGGAAGGCCATACTCTAGCGCCATGCAGAAGTTCTCATCAATGAACATGGCTTCATCATCACCCACAGCCTTTGCCTAAGAGAATGAGCAGTAAAACATGGGTTGCAGAGAGCTCCGTAGTACCACTTCTCCTAACTCCTACCAAAAAGGGGGAATATATTGATATTTTTAGCAACCATGTAACAGGTAACACCACAGCCTTGTACAGCTGCATGAGAAACAGATGAAGGAACCTCAGCACCTGGACAATCACAGAGCTCACTTGTACAGCTGTTGCCAAAACAGCTCTAGGCTCAGTTCCTTCCTTATCTGCAAGTTTCTGTCCTGGGTTCAGCAGTAGCAGCCATTTTTCCCCTTCTTAGTAGCTGGTGCACTGCTGCATTTTTGACTTTCAGCCTGGGAACAATGCTGATAACACCGATGTTTTTAGTTCCTGCTCAGTAATGTTTACTCTGACCAAGGACTTTATGAGTCTCATGCTCAGCCAGGGAGGAGGGGAAGCCGTGGTGAGTGGCTATATTCTCTTCCCTTGTTATTTCCCTTATCATTATTATGATTGGTGGTAGCAGCAGTGGTTTGTGTTACACCTTAGTTACTGGACTGTTCTTATCTCAACCCATGGGAATTGTGTTCTTCCCATTCTCCTGCCCATCCCTCTGGGAGCGGGTTGGGGTGGGGGGAGGAGAAGGAGAGTGAGCAAGCAATTGCGTGGTGCTGAGGTACTGCCAGGGCTTAAGCCACAGCACAGCATTAGGGACTAACATAGGAGTATTCTTTGCTCATGTGCCTGTATCAGTGATTCCGTATCAGCAAGCACCATACCTTGGCCTGATCCTCAAAGAGCTGCCGCTGACGGAAAGGATCATTAAGTTCTGTGTACGCATTGCACACCTCCTTCTTCATGACGAAGAGTTCAAAGCGTTCTGTTAGTCCCACATGAGAGCGATGCCTAAGTGAAGATAAAACAACCACATCTTCAAATAAACATCTTTACAGAAGAAAAGACCACATAAATTAAGTGCTCCGGGGAAGTGCCCATGCTCAGCAATTAACAGCTGTCAAAACCTCAAATCACTGAACATCAGCCCACCTGTGCCCTGGATGATGGGTTTCAGGAACCAATGTTTACCTTGGCTGGTATTAGAGTTCACAAACTAGTATATAACATCAGAATCTATTTTCACACATGACTTGGATTTTTTCTTTCTTCATTTTTTTTCCTTGTTAATAAAGTAGGAGTAGAGGGTCTAAAAGAGTTACACACTGACTGTGTCTCATAATCTTACCATTTGGCTAGAGGACTCATGATCTGTGGATGGTCACAGATGAATGTAGGGTTGATGCATGTGACTTCCAGGAATTCACCAACTAACTGGGAAAACAAAAGTAAAACAAGTATGCAGAGCACAGTATCACATTCGTAGCACTGCCTTCCCCACACATCCTACTTCCTTCTTTCCACATCTGAAGAAGGTGCCATAAAACTGAACAGTTTCCCAAGTGATCATTACTAATCATGGTAATGTCTTCATTAACAGAGAGTACATGTCCTGCTTGGATAAGAAAAATGAGATAGCAGAAACTGTACAAAAAAACCAACAGCATTATTCAAATTGGACATTGTGACAACAGCCAATAGGAAAAGCAGCAGAAAAAAAGCTATCAGGCAAATTTAGGTACAAAGGAAAAGACTTAGTAGAGCTGACAGCAGAACTACATGGTAAGCCTACTAGCTTTGTAAGGTACATCCAAACGCACAGATCTCACAGATAAAACTGACATAAGGCAAAGCACATCTGCTTTAATCATAAGACACTAATTATCAAACTCTAGAGCTCACATTAAACAGGCATCTGTAAACTACATTTCGGTGTAGACAACACCAAAAAGATTTTGATGCAGCAAGTTTTCTCACTGCGAAGAAAAGCTGAAGTGCATTTCACCACGTTTTCCAAAAGGCAGCTAAACTTTTGCTCTGAAGGGACCTCTGTTGGTACCTGTTGATACGGAAAGATCCTTCAGGACATTAGGGTTATAAAAACACCACCTTTACTTACCTTGTCAAGAAGCCTGGCTGTTGTCCTTGGAGGTGGACACTCAACATTTCTCTCTGCACAAAGATCATCAAAGAACTTGCGAGTTTCTGAAATTGTTGTAGAGAAAAATTAGAAAAGCCACTAAGGCCGCCACTTTTTTTTTTTTAATTTCTGCACCCTTCAACGTGTCTTAGAGTGATTTCTAAGATCTTAATGGTATACACCACAGAAACCATGAGCTTAGAAGTCAATCTACAAAAGTAGAGTTTGATTTTTGATCAATCTGCACTAAAATCTATTTTGAATTTCAAAAACTTGACAACAGTTAAGCACAACCCCACACAAGTGCTGGCCATTATCACTAGGGGACAGCAATAAAATGTAAAAAAGTATACCACTGAAAAATATATGAGTTTGTTTCCTATGGCTCAGGATTCCAGGAACAAAATAGCCCATACACACATTGTGAAGAAAGCCCAGAGTACTCATACTCCTAACCTACAATCACATGCATGGAGATTCACCTGCACAGAAGACAACAAATAATAAAAAGCTGGGTCTCTTCAGCAGATCAACGACTCCCCAGATCGTGCCTCTGGGGAATAACATCACATATACTCAAGAAAGGAAGTAGCAAAAGAGTCAGATCCTGCTAAAGACTGCAAGGCATGAAGACTTCTTTCTGGACTCTTCAGTAACACACAAAACCAGAGAAAAGAAATCCCGTGTGTTAGTACCACCTCAAAACGCAGCTGACAGACTGCAGGCTGGGAACTCAAGAGTTTTTACTGTTTTTCTGTTAAGGAAGAATGACAGGACATTCATACTCAGCATCTAACCTTCAGCTTCAAAACACTCAGCTGGTGGAAATTTCACTCCTATGGCCTTTTCCAGATCAGACACCATACTAATTCGCCGGAAGGGAGGGGTAAAATCTATCTCATAGGCCTGTCCCTCTTGACCATCTGGATGATAAGTGATCTTGTAACTTCCAGTAATATGTTTCACCATCCCTGCGAAAGGAACCTGAAGTTTAGAACAAGAGTATGCCACATAATATGCACTTCTACGAGATTCTTGCTTTTTTTTAATGTTGCATACATCACCTGAAAGCAACTTCTCTGTAATTTCCATCAGGTCATGGTAGTCTGCATAAGCCATGTAGAATTCACAAGTTGTGAACTCAGGGTTATGAGTCATATCAATTCCCTCATTTCGGAACTGACGCCCAATCTCATATACTCTGTCCATGCCTCCAACCACCAACATCTAAACAAAAGGAAATCCCAGTGAACAAACCAACTTTTTCAAAAGACCTGAAGAGAGCTCAAACACACACAACTGCAACATGACTGTACAAATTTCACTCAAGATACATTTTCTCTCCTCCAGACAAATGAGTCCACCTTTCTTGAAGAATAATCCTCATTTTGGCTACATTTTCTTTTGTAGAACAAGATCACAACAGTCTGGAGAACATGGGCTTAGCCATCAGAAGGGTTTGTATTTTACCTTATGGTAAAGCTCTGGTGCAATTCTCATGTACAAATTCATATCCAGCTCGTTGTGGTATGTGATAAAAGGTTTTGCCACAGCTCCACCTGGAATTATATTCATCATAGGAGTTTCAATCTGTAAAATAACAACAACAAAATAATTTAACAGTGGCGTAAACATTTCCAGGCTCATAACTGTGAAACTGTTTCCAAAGCAGAACTCTGTAGGTCAAGCAAACAAAGAAACCATAGCTAGCTCTGATGAAAAACCTCTGGATTTCATTTACTGCTTGACATTCCAGTAAATTAAAGTAATTCTGAACTAAAGAGCACTTACTTTTAAAAGATGCATCCATAAAGACAAATTATTTAAATTACTTGTTGCTAACAAGAATCACTTTTGTTTCCTATAAATGTGAACCTGCTGTGTTCATATTATCAAAGCCAGGAACTTAGCTGAGGCATTGTCACAGAACTGTCTTTCTTCATTGCAGAAAATGAAGTTCAGCAAGGCCAAGTACAAGTTCCTGCACCTGGGGCAGGGAAATTCCCCACTATCAGCTGAGCTTTGGGAATGAATGGATTGAGAGCAGCCCAGTAGAGAAGGACTTGAGGTTACTGGTGCTTGAGAAACTGGGCACACGCTGGCAACATGCACCCAGAAATCCAGTTGTATCCTGGGATGAATCAGGAAAAGCATGGCCAGCACGTTGAGGGAGGGGATTCTCCCTCTCTACTCCACTCCCATGAGGCCCCACCTGAAGCACTACAGTCATTACACACACAACACAGACAACACAGCACAGGTTCAGCATCCCATTGCTCTCAAAACCCACTGGCAGCTTTTGCAGATTCAGCTGGTAAACATTTGTAAATAAACTACATTAAGTTCTAACTTTTTTGCTGACTATAAAGAACCACCAAGAATCTAGATGCGAGAGAGCAGAGCTAGTAATGTTTTTTTCATATGCTACAATAGATCTTAAGACAAAACCAACTTTACTTACCAGAAGTTAAACCTGCATTTATCTCCAGAGACAAAACATCATTTCAAAGGTGTTATTTTCACCTTAATTCACTGACATAAGGACAGGACAGCAGTAGTTTGAAGTATACCCTGTTTCAAAGTTTCCTGAGTCATAACATCAACTGAGGAGTAATCTTAACTTTAAAGAGAGATTAACTGTTCCCATTACGTTACACGGATAAAGCACACCATGCCAAAGTAATTATTCTCACTTCTGTAAATACTTGCATGTGAGCCTAAATATAAAACACCCTTGAAGCTGAGAAGCTTTAAGCAAGTTCAGTATGCAGAGACAAATAAAACACTGAAGCCTTACCTCAAGGAAGCCCAACTCATCTAGAAAGCTTCGAATATATGTAATGATCTTTGCACGGGTTATAAATTTCTGCCTCACATAATCATTAAGAATCAAATCCAAGTATCTCTGACGATACCTAGTTTCCTGGAAAGAACAAGTATCTTTAGAACAAGCTACACAAAATGTGCTGCCAAAGAAAAACTAAAACAAAACTGACGTTCCTTTGGTGACTGATACCACCAGCAGATATAAAAGGTCATCCATTCTGACCTATCTGTCAAACTCCCTTCAAGAGTGACAGATATGATACTTACTTTATCTTTGAGGCCAAAGTGAAGATGAGGCAACATGTGGAGGCATGGAGACAACAGAGTTATTTCATAAGGAATAATACTCAGTTCTCCTTTCTTTGTTTTCCCAGGATTCCCCTCTACACCAATAATGTCTCCACGACGCAGCTTGTTATTAATACGGAAATACTCTTCCTCGGATTTGTAGAGCCTGTAATTACGAAGCCAATGTAAGCACATTTGTTTAAAATTCACCATTCCAAACTGTCCTTCAAGTCTCTCCCGAGACTCTTCTAGCAGGGAGGCCAACCACAACATCCTAAGCACAAGTTTACCTAGCTTCCTAAGCACAAGTTTACCTGGCTTCCTAAGCACAAGTTTACCTGGCTTCCTAAGCCAACACAGAGACAAACTGCCTAAGGAGATGAAGAGTGACCAAATCAGACATCTAGGCCCCAGAATACAGTCCATTTTAGAATGCTACTGCAAATACCTCTCCTTACCTGGAATTTGCCATGACCTGCAACTTGACTCCTTCGCCACGAAGATCATAGAAAATCAGCTTCCCTCCAGAGGCACGCTTCGCATGAATTCGACCTAAATATCAAAGTATGCAGGACATCAGGAAAGGAGTCCCTAGCAAAAAGGGCACAGGGGCAAAAAGCACAGTAGTATCACTTGGACAAAGGCTCATCAGCTCCGAACTGATCACTAACTGTGGAAGAGCAGCAGTCAAGTCTCAAAATGAATACCAGTGCACAAAAGACTATATAAACTTCAGGGTACTGCAGGTCATACCATAATCTGATCTTGTAGGTGTAAGGGATGTGGCATGGTTCCACTCAGTCTGACAGCACATGTTCTGAATAGTCTAGCACTGCTACAGCAGCAAAGACTTGGCTTAGCAAAGCAACAGACCATCCTCCTGTATCCCAGAGAAGCTTTTACCTGCCACTCTCAATGTAATGTCTGTCAGGTGATCTCCTGGCTGCAGATGACTGTACTTCTCTATAAAATCTGAGAGGGATAAGTCTACATGGAACTTATGAGGATAGGGATCTTCGCTGGTGCCCTTCAGCTGCTGGATCGCCTGGCTACGGATCTTGTAGTATTGCTGTCACCAGAAACAAACAAAACCCAACACATTTCTGTTAGGAAATGAAAATACTTTACAGTGTGTGAATTAAACACAGCTTCACTTATACAGGAATATGTAGGTCTCTCCCCCTTTAACCATTTAGTTACCCATGAATTAAAAAACTCCCAACAATGTAAATAAGTAACATTTGTTCCCAGAATAGCAATTAAGCATGAGGCCAGGTGCTCACATTTGGATCCAAGCTCTCCTCATCAGCACCAGTGTTATTCTCAGAGTCAGAAGCCAAGGCAGGTTTACTTGACTGCTTTTCACTTTGTTCTTTCTGCTTTGCCTCTTTCTCAGCAATTTTTCTCTCAGCTTTTAAACGCCTCTTCAGCTCACTGCAGAACAGAAGGGAACCAGGTACAGGAGGAACTCTGCTAGCAGGTAACACACGGCAGAACTATCAAAAGCTTACTGTACAGTAACCCTTTCATTTCTCTGACCCAAAGTCAAGATAAGCGTGTTTAAGCGCCGAGATGCAAACACTCGGACACTCGCCAACGTGCCGCAGGCCCTCTCGCGCGCCTCCGTGCACCCGCGGGCCGGGTGTGGCTGGAACAGGGCGTTCTGCCCCGAAACGAGCGTCCGGGGTCCCGAAGGCGGCCGCACGGCGCGCCCGCACAGCGGCGCTTCCCGCGGCTCCCGACCCCGCGGGCACGGACTTGACGAGGCAAGAGGAGGGCCCGGGCAGACCGCGAAGCACCGACCTGCTCTGGTCATGGAGCGCCCGGCGCCACCGGAGCGCGGCCGCGGCCCTCCAGGACCAGGACCAGGCTCGTGCCGAGGCGCGGAGCAGCGCGGCGCCGGGGCTCAGCATGGCGCGCTCCGACGGGAGACCTGGCGGCGGCGCGCCCAGGCCAGCCGGGCGCTCGCCTCGCGTCCCCGGCGCGGCCTCGCCCGCACGGAGCGGCTCCGCCGGCGCGGCCCCGCCGCCACCCTCACTTTTTGCTGAGGCGCGACTCGGTCCCCGCCGCTTCGCACGCGCCCTCCACGACCGCCGCCATCTTCCGCGCTCCACCCAGCCTTTCCGGTAGGTGCCGCGCCTGCGCGCCCGGGGCCGCTATGGCGGACTGCTCGCGGTCGCTGTTCCTGTGCGACAACGGCAGCCCGATGCGGTTCTACGTGCGGCCCGGGCGGGCCAAGCTGCGCCTGGCACCGCTCGTGCTGGCGGGCGGCGGGCGGCTCTGCCGCGTGCAGGAGCCGGGAGCCGTGCTCCTGGCGCAGCCCGGCGAGGCGGCGCCCGGCGGGGCCGTCTCCACCGACTACGTGACGGAGTGTGTGAGGCGCAACGAGCGGCTTCCGCTGGAGCCCTTCCGGCTGCCCGCCGCGCCGGCCGCCGCCGCCGCGCCGCGGGGCCGCTCGGCCTTCTCGGCGGCGGAGGACGCGGCGCTGGTGCGCGCGGTGCGCGAGCGCGGCGAGGAGCGGGCGCGCGGGCGCGCGCTGTGGCAGGAGCTGGAGCGCGCGGGGCTGATGCGGCACAGCTGGCAGGCCATGCGCGACCGCTACCTCAGGCACCTGCAGCGCAAGGGGCTCTTCGAGGCGGCGAACCGCGAGTTCGAGACCATGGAGGTGAGGCCGGGCCCGAGCGACCCGCGCCGAGGCTGCGCGGGCACCCGGGCCTGGCGCCAGGGTCCGATCCGTCCCAGAGCGCCCCGTGACTGTTTCTTGTGAGCCGCGAAGAGCCGCGCCCCGCTGCGCTGTGCTGTCCTGTCCTAGATTGAGTCCCGGCCGGGCTTGGCTGGAGGGAGCCGGTGTGGCAGCGCGGTCACACCGGGAGCTGCGTTGGCAGATGGACGTCATCCTTTCGCTTCAGGCATAAAGCGTGCCTGCCGATGCATTAGCGCTTTTGCCTTTTACGCTTTCATTTTCTTCCTTCCTTACTAAATTCTGTCTTATTTCATGCTTTCTGTGGTCTTGTGAGTCCTTGTTAACACATGGCTTCATTTCAGGCATGAATTTTACCTTGTCTACTAATTTCTGAGGTTTTTATGTACTGTAGAGGCACAGTGGAAGGTGGTTGGGTAGCGGGGATGAAAGAAGCTTGCCAGAACATACCGTGTCTAACTGATGGCTCTACTTCTCTTAGTCAAGAAATGACGCCTCAGAAATCTCAGGAGAACTTCCTACAAAAGAGAGAATTTCCCCAGGAGAAACAGCATCTGGTTTGAAAACTGTCCTGCAGGAGTCTGCTGGCCCTGACACCAGGTTACAGATGGAAGAACAACCAACAAGCACTTGCTCTTCTCCCAGCACGGTGGCAGATGCAGTAAAAACGATGCAGTGCTTAATGGAGAAGTCTAGCATGGACCTGCTCACCATCACACAGGCCTTTCTGAAAAACAGCGGTGATGTGGAGGCTACTTTGCACTTCCTGCAGACGGGGCGACGCCAGGACGGGTACCCTGTGTGGAGCAGAGAGGATGATTTGGAATTGCAAAAGGATGATGAGTCTGTCAGAAATAAATTGATAGCAAAATTTGGAGCTGAAAACGTAGCAAAGAGGATAGCATTTAGGAAGAGTTAGCTGGCAAAGCAGAGAGGAATGGCTGATGTAGGACTGTGCAGGAACTTAAAAAAACCCTGGTCATTTCAGAGATGCGTATTTCCATCTCTTCTGGCATTACTTATCACGCGTGGCAGCGTGACAAACGATGCTTGCTTTATTCAGCTTCCATGTATATCTCTTCTTCCTTTGCAGTATAATTGCTCTGTGTGGTTTCACACATTTAGCTGTGGTCCGTGAGGGTTTTGAGCTCTGTTGTCTGGTCCCAGCAGAAAATCTGATGCAGCATTCTGAAATTTCAGAAATGCTTTAAAATTTTTTTTTCATAAAAGGCTCATTTTTATATTACTGACTGCACTAAACATCTTAAAGTAGAAAATGGTGAAGATAAGGACTCCATACAGTATCAACTTTTTTCCAGTGAAGAGTGTGTATCTGCTATATAGGCGGATTGACAGTCCCACTTATATGTTGCTCCGCATGCACAGGATTTCGAATAGGCATGTCACCAAAGTTTGACAGTCGCATTTAAGTGCTCTAACCTGTAATGCACCTGTAGTAGTGCACAACAGCATCGTGATCTCTACCATGTGTCTTACTTCAGACTGCTGTGGATGGTTATTTAATAACCTGGGCTGCCAGTTGTCATTACTTTTTGCTGCTAATAAACCTTGATTAGCAGCAGTCACTTGGAGATAGTAACAATGCAAATGTAACTATTCAAAAGAGGGATCAAGAACATTCATGCCAGAAGATGATGCACTTGGTCTCATACATCAGTGCTGAGATGTCTTGAGAGTGGCCCTGTGTACTGGGAGTGGCCAAAAAAGGTCCCTGTGACGTTAAAACGCTCACACTCACGTTACAGAGATACGTCAGTTAAAACCTCAGGCTGGTTGAGATGATTCCAGTTTTTATTACCCATATTCTAGTATTTATTCTCCCATGCTAATATTGCAGGGTTTGATTAATAACATCAACCTTACCATTTTCCTTCATGATTTCAAGAACATGGGCTCTGAGAGCGTCCCGGAGAACAACTATTACTGGTTTTGGAAGCCAGAAGACAGAATTATTTCTGCTAAAAAATAAATGGATTCACATAGTCCCAGATATGGATCACCATATGCAAACTCAGAAGTTTTTATTTTCATCTATAGCTGGTTTATTCCATTTTCCCATTATACAGTAAGTGAACGCAAACGTTTCCCCAAACATTGCCACCAAGGCTGGATACCCAGGCATGGGAATGGAGCAAAAGGAAACTGGGCTTGAAAACTCAACTATCCCCAAAAAAAGAATCATTCTAGAAACCATCGTCTGGTCATCCTTGCATCTCTTCTGTCATTACTTATCATGTGTGGCAGCATGACAAATGATGCTTGCTTTATTCAGCTTCCATGTATGTCTCTTCCTTTGCAGTATAATTGCTCTGTGTGGTTTTACACATTTAGCTGTGGTCCATGAAGGTTTTGAGCTCTGCTGTCTGGTCCCACTCCTTTGGCATTGTTTGCTCCAACCTACCTGTACTTCTTTTTTTTTTTTGCATAAACCATGGATTTAATTTGCAAAACAGACTTGCATTACTTCAGCCTCCATTTTCCTGGGGGTGCTGATTGATGGAGCTGCACATGGGCAGCTTGTGCCCAGGCAGCCAGGAAGCCACCAGCATCCTGGCCTGTATCAGCACCAGTGTGGCAGCAGGGCCAGGTCAGCAATTGTGCCCCTCTGCTGGCCACTGGTGAGTCCACACCTCGAATCCTATGTTCTGCTCTGGGTCCCTCACTACAAGAGAGACATTGAGATGCTGGAGCGGGGCCAGAGAAGGGCAACAGAGCTGGTGCAGGGCCTGGAGCCCAAGTGTGATGGGGAACGGCTGAGGGACCTGGGGGGTTCAGTGTGGAGAAGAGAAGGCTCAGGGGGGACCTGATGGCTCCCTACAACTGCCTGACAGGAGGATGGAGCCAGGAGGGGCTGGGCTCTGCTCCCAAGGAACAAGGGATGAGACAAGAGGAAACGGCCTCAAGCTGCACCAGGGGAGGTTTAGACTGGAAATTGGGAAGAATTTTTTCCCTAAAGGGTGCTCAGGCATTGGAACAGGCTGCCCAGGGCAGTGCTGGAGTCACCGTCCCTGCAAGTGTTCACACATCATGTAGATGAGGGCCTCAGTGACGTGGGTCAGCGGTGGCCTTGGCAGTGCTGGGCAACAGTTGGACTGGATGAGCTTAAAGGTCTTTTCCAGCTTTGCTGATTCTATGATGCTGCAATTGTGGCTGAGCCTCCAGGACTTTGGAGAGCAGCCTGTGCTGCTGAGAAGGCTGTCACGACTGCAGCTGGGGATCCTGTTACTTATCCTTGCTTAGCACATCCATGTGTGCACTCTTAGCACGCGTGCACATACCTCTGTTCTTTGCTTTGGCAAACACTTTACAGTTCTCTGCTCTGCAGCCTTGAGAGAGTAGGTGCAGAGAGCAGCTTTTCTGCCTTCAAAATTTGTTACTTAGAGGAGTTATGATCAAACAAAAGATCCAGTGACATATTTTTTTGGTCTCCTTCAGACTGAATGAGCTGGTAGCCCAACAGGTCCATTGCATCCTTGCACACTCTTTGCACTTTTTCTATTTTCTGGAAGGGAAGGGTCTTCCTCCAGGCCTGAGATACCTTCAGAGCATCTCTGGAGCTAATATCAAAGGCCTGTGCTCCTTGCCCATTCCCATGGGTGATGTTGTGCACCCACTTCTGAAGTTCGGGTGTAAAATGGAGTTCTGCAAACCTGTACATCTGAGCAGCCAATGCTAGCGGGTCTCTGACAATGTCTTCATAGCGAACCAGCAGGTAGCGGTCCTTCAGGAAGCTGGGGACAGCCTGGCTGCCAGCCTTGTAAATCTCAACGTGGCTTTTGCAGATTACTTGCATGGTGTTGTAAGGTCCCATTTCTCCCTTTGTCCTCTCGGCCCCCACAACAATGTTACTGTCACGTTTCAGGTCTGCCACTGTATTCTCTCGCGATCTGAATACAGCCCGAGGGTCACGGACCAAGTGAATGATCTTGAGGTTCAGGGATGGATCAGTGAGAAGGGGGTAGAGCACTTTCAGGTCAAAGAACCGAACCTCCTTGATGGCGACATGGCTGTAGGTTTTACAGGCTTCCTCCACTGTGCTGAATGGGGACTTGGCACAGATTGTTCTGCAGTTGCCTGCAGTGATTATGTCACTGCGACTGAATAAGTCACAGGCCGGGGGGGAGCACAAGGCTCGGCTTGTCTCCCACTGAAATAAATCAGACTTTTTCTTCTGGCTAGACATGTAAGCATCAAACACAGACATGTCACACAGAAAAACCGACCTGACAAGGTCCCGCACTGCCATGTGCAAGACCTTGGCACTGTTCTGGTACATTGTAACCCACACGTGCCATGCAGGCTCCATCAGGTAGAAGACACTGGGGTGCTGGCTGAAAAGTTGTCCGGTGAAGGAAGACCCTGACCGCCAGGAGGAGAGAATGAGGATGTGGACTGAAGAAGGTTTTCTTTCCACAGGGGCATTGTTGCTGCAGGGTTGGAAGTGGCAGTGGATAAGAAGGAAGGTCAGAACTGCCAGAATCAGGAGCACCTGCACCCTTCTGGACTTCATCATGGTTGCAAGGGACCTGCAGAGACAGAGGAAGTTCAGGATCATGAAGAAGGCAGGATGCAGCAAATCGGACTCGTATGAATCCCTCTGCAGGCTCAGGGTTTTGAAAAGCTGCCACACTACAAGTGATGCTGTGACAACCACAGCAAAAAGTGCCATTGGAAAGAACATAAATACTGCAGGGCTGAAAGTTTTCAGTAACAAACCCGCTGTTTGTTAGCAAATCATTCTAATGCTGTCTTAGAAGATCACTGAAAAGCTTGTTTGCACTTTTATCAAAGCTTAAGAGCTAGTTCAGTGTATTGAAATAAGTCAGTACACACAAATATGTACTTAGTATACACAATTCCTGCAGATATGATCCCTGCAATTTTTATGGAGGAAAGATGAAATAACTTTTTTTTTTTTTTTTGTGGACAATTCAGCAGTTCCATGCTGTTACTTTTAAGCTCCTGCTCTGACCACTGTTTACAATTGGTTTTGTGCCAGAATGCTGTACAAATAAAATGTATGTTTCCACCTCTTTTGCTTATATTCTTTTTGGAATTTCAGGAAACTTTTCTTGTCATGACAGGCAAAATCTCACGTACCAGAGGAGGTCACTTGGAACTGTAATAAATCCAAGCACAACAATATCTCCTCTGCAATCAGAGCATCACAGACAATTTGGTAGAAAGTCATGAGAGTTTCTTATCCATCTTGTTGAGGTGAGGCTTACCTACAACCAATACCTTTCTTAGTCTAACTCCTTTCTAGAAGCTGTCTCCTGCTACTCTTCCCTCCAACCCCACTAATGCTGTAGGTCTTCTGTGAGAAGAGGTACAACAGAACATGGTAGTCCAGCTCAGAGGTCTGCCCAAACCTAGCTCCTTGTTTCTTCCATTAAACCTCTATTCTGCCTGTTGTGGATGACATTATTGGAAAATGCTGTAGTGCACCCTGTCACCCCACAGCTTGGTGTGCTCCCCTGTCACCACATGCCAGGCTGGCCATGTTAGCTGTACTGCAGTGGAGACGGGCATCTCAGGCCACTGCAACTGCTTTACATTTCCCAAGGTGAACTAAACTTAAAACACCTTACTGGCTCTCAGGCATGGTCAGTCTCTCCACAGCCAGAGAGGATAGAGAGAGCAAGGTCCTGAGGCTGCAGGGCAAGGTGGGAGTCCTGGACAGGGCAGTACTGGAGCCCAGGTCCTCAGAGCTTTGTACACAGCTTTTGTGTAGCCCAAGACTACGGATCTTGCGCAGCCTTGGCCACGCAGAGCAGCTGCCTCCCTTGAAAGCAGCAGAGGTATAAAGTGTGCCTCACTTCTCTGCTGTGTGCTTACCAAGTTATCTTCTGGATCCATGATAATGCCTGAATGTTCACAGTCAAAATTTCCCTAACTTCTTCCTTATGCTTTGCTTCAATTTCCCTCTTCAGTGAAACTTTCCAACTAGCCTGCATGCTTTTAGTTCCTCTAGCACTGATGTTGAGATTTCCAGGTACAGCCACTGCTGCTAACCAACTAGAAACAGCACTCATCTTTCCCTGCAGCGTACATGCATGAATTGGCTAATCTGTGCATTCATTTTGAGTTTAGGATTTGTAAGGCAGCAATTCTAATTGCTCAGAACCAGGACAATTCCCAGCCCAATAGGTAAGCCTGGTTCTTGCCAGTAAGTCCTACCTCAGTATGCATTTTATTTTAGAATGTCTTGCAGGGATGGGGCTGTGCATTTAGTGAGGAACCACTTACTTCTGGTTTCCTGGACAAGAGGCCTGCTGATGTTTTTTGATTATACAAGCAGATTGTAGTGTTCAGGTCTGAGAAGAAGCTGATTCAGGTCACTGTTTGGGTCAAGCCTAGGAAGAACTGCAATAAAAGACTTGTAAAAGTAAGTCATATTATCATCTTCCTCCTTGCAAATGAATACAGCGTTGTTTACCAGAAGTCCTGGCTTTGGTGATATCACTTCCATCTGGTACCATTAATACTGTTATTGTAACTCCCAGCAGAGTTCCTGGATTAAAGCCGGAAGCTCTTAAGTGGGAAAGACTCTGTTAGCAGACACAAACACTGGCATTAAGATACCCAGGCAGATTTTAAACCACATAAATCATTACTCTTGAAACCTGTGTGAATAGTCTGAGTATGAGCCAAAGAGAATGGATTCATGTTTCTTGGGAAGCAAGAGTGTGCTTTTATCTTGAACCAAGCCAGGGTGGGACAGTGTGATATTTTAGACATTTCACAGAGCATACAGACCATCTCTGTATCTCCTCTTGGTAGAAATGGCCTCACATGAGGCCACAGCCTCAACAGCTTCTTCACTTTTACACAAGTAGTGATGACCGTTGCTCTGACCCACAGGGCAGTCAGTTCCACAAGGAGGGAACAAGGACCGAAATGGGTTGTGTGTGCCTGGTGAAATGGAACAGAGGAGAAGAAAAGAGCAGCAGAGGTTCTATCAGGCATTTCCTAATATGAAAGAAATACTAATTAGATAACCTTACTTTCACCACTGTGTCTCTCAACTGTGGCAGGTGGGAAATTTATAAATTACGGTCTCATGCTTAACCACATTTTCCCTACAGCAAACATTCAGAGTCACAAGTGATTCAGTTCATTTTGTATTGAACAAGTGAAATATGAAGCCCTCACAAAGCTGCAAAGATCATTCCAGAGTGACTGAGACAATCTCAGCTGCAGAACAAGAAACCACACACTGTTACTGCCTGCTGGCAGAGAGATGAGCTAGGATTTGGATGAGAGTAAAAGAACAGGAAAAATCTCCATGCACTGAGGATGAAGAGCAGAAACTACTGAAAAATACAACAGTCCAGAGTCTCCCACAGCATATACATGAGAATGCAAAGAACTGGGATCTGCCTGACTGAGCAGCATGAGTCTCCAAAACAATGAACAGAGTTTTAAGCTTTCCAGAAACACAGAGGAGCCTTGGAAATGCTTGATCCTGGCAAAGAAAGAGCGTTACTGAAAGTAACAAGCAGCCCCACAGAGATGTACCCACCAAACACACTCTGCACATGGGCAGCATATCCTCAGAGTACTGGTCTGCCAAACCTGTGCGTCTGACAACGCAGCCCCAAATACCTTGTGTTACGCAGACTGTGGCTGAGCGCTCTGCAGGTCTGGGGAGCTCTCCAGACCTGTACAGAGCCTTCGCTGCTGTAGTGGCAGCAGTGCAGCAAAGAGATAAGGGAAGCCCCAGACACTGGTCTTTGATGGCACTGACGGTTGCTCATAGATTTGCCAAATCCTTCAATTTGGCCAGACCAGCTTGTGCTGTAGAAGTAGCATCCACCCGTTCAGAGGAGAATGATGACATGACTGCGGGAAATCCTGAGGAGGGGCACTGAGAAGACAGCCTACAGAAGCAGGAACTACCCTCTAAGGCAGACCAACAGCTTGTGTCTGCAGGAGGACTCGTGTAGCAATTTACTGGCATCCATATGTTTACAGTGTTATCCAAAAATTATCTCCAGGCTGCTGAGCATGAGCAGTGAACGCAGTCCTGGGCACCAAAGTGTTCACAGCAGAGACCAAGAAATGATTGAAAATCTCACCTTAGCATGTCCTCTTGAAGTACCACCATGCCTGGTTCAGGCAAAGCTGCCCTCACGCACGTACACCGCTGTTGTACACAGTCCTGCGGGCAGCCACACAAACAGCCCCGTACTCACCTACTGGCACCCGCCTTCGTGCTAGGCTCACAGACACATGTACTCAGCTCTTACCTATACCTGTCTTCTCTCTCCTGTCCCCTCACTTGTGTATGTCCCAACCCTAGGACTGACAATTCTACAGTGCCCGCCTACTTTGACCAGCCTTGGGCTGGTAAACTCCACCCTGCACGAAGCACAAAGCATGGGAATGGCAGTTGCTTCCAGAGGCACAGCTGACCGAACAGTGCTACTAAAGGAGAAGGGCCAGGAAATTCATGAAGGAGACTGAGAGGTGCTTTTATGTTAAGTCGCACTGCAAGCCCCCAAAAGACTGCTCTCCATAAAAGGAACAGGAATGTCTGTGGAGTGTCAGAGCAAAGGGCAAACAGGAACCTCTGTTACAAGGAGGACCAGTTTGCCCGCCAGGAGTGGGAAGATAGGGCATATTTGCCTGCTATTGCTCTGGCTGCTTGCCACATTGTCAGCAGATGTAGATTTACACAGTGTCTTTTTAAGTCTTTTCTATCTGTGCCTTGCTCGAGTTAAGTATTTTGGGGCTGGGAGAGAAAACTCTGTGAAAGAAGCTGTGAAGGGCTTGGCCTCTGCATGGTTCTCAGAAGTGCTGGAGCGGAGTGGGGCTGTGCCAGGTAGGGCAGTGAAGCAGGGCAGTGCTGGGCTCAGAGAAACACCTGGTATTCTGCGGCCACGCAGAGACAATGACTTTGGGTCATTCCTATTCCAAGTCTCACCATTTCTGTCACAACAGAAGGTGCAGAGCTTCTGTTGATGGTGGCCTCTGTCCCCAAAGAACTCACTGAGCTGCTCTGAGGAAAAGCAGAGTACAGGAGACAAAAGAAGCAAAAAATCCGAGCAAGACTGTTCCTTCCAGCAGGAGGGACAACCTGAAAGGGATAGGTCATGTTCCCTTTCACTTGCTGCATTGCAAATACAGATGGTCAAGCCCTGGTAATTCTGGGCTAGGAAGCAAGGAGAGAAGCTGGCAGTGGTACAGGCAGCAGGGTGCAGAGAGAACCATGCCATTTTCTGTCCAAGCTGATTTTTGACTACATGTTCCTATACCCTGCACTGACACCATTTGTATTAAGGATTTACCTGTATCCCAGTAAGTGTTACAAAGCTGGTTCATATCACTACTTGAGTGACTCTTCCTGAAGCCTTATTGCTTCCGGGCCAACAGTTGTATGAACAGCGAGATACCAAAACTCCTGTTCCACCTCTATGTAGCTTGCCCAAAACATGCCGGTCCTTTGCAATGGATAGTTGGTCTTCAGGACAGCACTGAACACTGCTGTACATCCTATAGTCACAGCGCTGGGCACATTTTTTCAGTTGCACAGATCCCAGGTTCTAACTAGTTTGGCTGAGCTTTCTAGAAGGCAGCATCTGTGACATAAGCAGTTGCGCAGAGGAGAAGAATGTACTCTTCTTTGGAGTCAAGGCTTGGGAGGGCACAGTGCGTTTCCTGAGACCTGCATATTGT